TTGTCAAAATCTAGGTCAGCTGATATCAAAGTTCACTTTACATCTTAATCTGTGCACATGGTTCAAATTTCATAGCTGTACATCAAAGGACAAGAAAGTAAGTCACATCATCAAAATCTAGGTCACCTGATATCAAAGTTCAATTTTACAACTAAAACTGTGCACATGGTCAAAATTTCATTGCTGTACATCAAAGGACAAGAAAGTCCCCTTGGGCAAGGCAAAATTTTGACCCAAGGGTTTAATTCAAAACAATCTTGATACAGGTCCACCAAACAACATTTCATGTCAAATATCTAAGCTGTAGCTTTCTCCCATTCAGAAAACATTTGTTTTATTTTCTGTTTTTACTATGTGTACATAATGAGAATCCCTGCCCCGGGCAGGGCCAATTTTGACACCAGGGGAAAAATTTAAACAACTTTGGTAGAGGACCTATCGATGATATTATATAGCAAACATCAAAGCTCTATGCCTTGTACCTTCAGACAATAAGATTTTTTTATTTTTTACTATATGTTTATATTGAAAATCAATGACCCCCGGGGCGGGGGCAATTTTGACCCCAGGGCTATAATTTGAACAATCTTGCTAGAGGTTCACTTCACAATGTTACATGCAAAATATCTAACCTCTAGCATTTGTCAATTGCTAGAAGTTTTTACTATAAGTTGTTACTAAATACATATAAGGAAAACCAATGACCCCCGGGGCGGGGCCGATTTTGACCCCAGGGCTATACTATATGTACATATAGTGAAAATCAGTGACCCCGGGGCGGGGCCAATTTTGACCCCGGGGCTATAATTGGAACAATCTTGGAAGAGGTCTACCAGACAATGCCTTATGCAAAATATCTAAGCTCTAGGCCTTTTGGGTCTTTACAAGAAGATTTTTTAAATTTATTCTTATAATTCCTTTTGGTTGCCATGGCAACCAGATTTCTGCACGGAATGAAATTCTTTGAACAACTTTGGAAGCCCTTCACCCAAGGTTCAATCCTGCCAAGTTTGGTTGAAATTGGACTAGTGGTTTTTCACAAGAGAATTTTTTTAAGTTCACTATATAATCTATATAACACACACACACAAACAAACACACACACAGGTGAATCGCTATATGCCACCGCATCGCAGATGCTGCGGTGGCATAAAAAGATAAAAATAACATTTTTCAAATTTTCTGATTTCAGGTATCTCCGGTACAAAAGGAAGAAATTGGAGTATCAGATCTAGCAATATGGATAAGGTCCAATATCCCGGAATGTTTTTTCCTTTACTAGAGATGACTAGTATATTACAGAGAATAAATGATTCGTAATTTCAACTTCATAGTCAAAATTTACTGGATATATATAATGATGTTTCCTATATGTTGACTGGTTTCACTTTCTATCCCTCACGAAAAGAAGAAAATGGGGTATCAGATTTTATGGCAGAAAGATTTGGACAAAACAAAAGAAATACAATGTAACTGATGAAAATTGTGCATGTTGAAAAGGTGTTATTTCCTTGATTAAATAGTGCTGTTTATGGTACCTTTTTGATGGTTTAACATCACATTGTATTTTGTATATAGGTTAGTGTTTGCAGGGTCTTGCAAATAGAATTCCCCTGGTGCCTAGTAGTAAGCATTTACAAAATAACAGCACACTGCGCGACCGTTGATAAAAATAGTTTCAAACACTCAATCAATTTACATGTCTGGATGATATTTTTATACATGTATATTTATTATATATTTTATATATAATAGCGATTTTCAAAAGTAAAGTGTTATTAAAATACTGCCTTTCTATATTACAAAAAAAAAATTCAAACAAAAATATTCAATAAGAACTTTTTCCATCTATGAATCCTAATTTAAGATATTTAAGAGGTCAGTACAATTTGAATTTTATTTAAAAATATAATTGCCTTAAAAAATATTAAAAGCAAATGACCAATCATTTCATCTTAATAAAGATCCTATTTATAAAAATATTACCTTTATAAACTCGCCACCTTTTTAATTTACAAATCATAATTTTCATTTTCTTAATTTTAGAGCTAATGCAAAGAATATGGAAAAACAAAGATAGTAAAGTATGTAACACACCTATTTGCCAATATATTTGACAATTAATTTCATTAGACCTTTGGAAAGTAATAAGCCAATCAATTATGCAGTTTAAAAGTCATTCAAACATGTGACAGATAAAGATCTCAGTGCCAAGCCCCCAGGCAGGAGATTAGCAACTGGATGACTGCAATAAATGTTTTGATAAAGGAGTACACTACTGTACAGCCAATAAAGTTTGAAACTAACAAAATATATTTCAGCCAAGCTGGTAAACATATCTTTGGGTCGAGCTGGGGGGGGGGGGCGGCTGCAGCCCTGAAGCCCGGGCCTGAATCCGCCACCGAGTGAGTAAATAGCCCCAGCAATCACATGCATGACATTATGCCCATCTAAAGGTACATGTATTATATAGTGAGTGAACAGGTGAGGTCACCATAAATTTTCATTTTCCATAATAATTATTCCTTTTAATTTAATAATTTACTTCGCATAAACAATAAACAATCCCTGACCCAAACGAAATGTCTGTTAATATCATTTAGAATTTACCTGTAACGTTCAATTTACTGCAGTATAAAAAGAGTGGGGCAGTCTTTTTATATTTTAGCTGGGACGGAAGTGTATCTTTCTGTCCCAGATATAAGTAACATTATGCTCTCGAATATGTTCATAGTCAAGTCGAGCTGAATTGGCTTTATATTTCAAAAGACTGCCTGTTTAAATGGTGTTTGACCAACAGTTTATATTGGAAAATGTTTAGGATAAAATTTAAAATCTGCCTAAAATCTGGGACAGAAAGTTTATATATAATCAAATTAATCACATCTGGGACTTAAATAGCTTTTGTCCCAGATCAAATACTGAAATGAGACTTGTGTAACCAAGTGTCCTTTTTTACACAATTTATGCAAACTTTTTTGAGGTACCGATAATACCACATGTCAATCAATTTACCTACATTATATGTACCCTTTCAATACTCTATACTAATATATACACTCTTTCAAAGAGATAATGTTAGGTTGTCAAAATATAACTTTACGCATATTCCCTAGGAACCAAAAAAAGTTGAACAACGAATATTAAATCAGCCAGAATCATTGAAACAAATACTTGGGATTTCTTATCACATGTATTAGTTTATATTTTAGCCGTTTTCTCCCATTGATTCTCCTCTTTCTTGATTTATTATGCCCACTACAACAGGTGTGAGGTGTAATGTACTAGGTATCAAAATAGAGAAAAACAGAATCCCTAAAGAAAGTCCAACACAACAAAATTGAAAATGTTGCAGGCTCGGTTTGATTGAGCCTGTTCATGGACGGTACTGGAAAGTGCAAGTTACCGTCCACGCCCCCTAGCACCAGCTTAAGCAGAATTCAACATTTAACACGAAAATGGTCATATTTTGAATTTAGAAACATCCGCAAATCTGTTCATACGGCGGTTATCATGGAACCTTCAATGTGACACACTAGTGCCATTCCATGAAAAGCGGCGTATGGTCCCCAAGTAAAAGAATGCTTTTGCCCTAAACGTGAAAACAATGGGCGGAACTAAATAAAAGGGAATTTGAAAGGGGCTCTGAGGTTATGAAGCCTGCATATCACAGATAAGACGTCAAAAGACAAATTTAAAAAGCAGGCAACATATCCTAAGGGTGATTATACAGTATTCAAGTAGGAATACTGGAACCACCCTAGTTGAAAAAGGCCAAATAGAAGAAACTAAAAGTACCACATAACAAGGATCGAAATTATAACATCATTGATTAAATGTACGGGGAGACTTTTTACAGCCGCCACACGGCACAAATAACACGGATGTGACAATGGAATAGAGAAAAACAGAAAAACAGAATCCCTAAAGAAAGTCCAACACAACAAAATTGAAAATGTTGCAGGCTCGGTTTGATTGAGCCTGTTCATGGACGGTACTGGAAAGTGCAAGTTACCGTCCACGCCCCCTAGCACCAGCTTAAGCAAAATTCAACATTTAACACGAAAATGGTGATATTTTGAATTTCACCGTGGTTCATACATGATGAATATGTATTAACATAATTATACATGCTTTTTGTATTTTTCTTAAAATTACTATTGATTACAAATATGTTTATTGTTGACAATTCAATATTGCTCAAGCTGAGTTTGCGGGACCTTGCAGTATCTTTCATGAAAATAAACAAGAGCCGAGTTAATAGTTTTATGGTATCAAGAAAGATAACTTATTTAGTAGCATTTCAAAGAAGTAATTGTGTTACCTCCCTATAACTGTTATATCTGATTTTTATGTCCTATATCAGTCATGTGCCTCTCTGATACCAACATTCTCACCCGAGCTCTGATCTGTTTAAGTATCCACAAGTAAAAAACGATATTAGGATAAAAAATCTTGTTATCATCTATATAATTTTGTTATCATCAATATAACATAATAATTAAGTCTTTATTATCCTACGTTTTGTTGTTTTGGGGGAATAATAACTTTCAAGGACATAAAGAAATAAAATGGAATAACTGACATCTTGTATTCTTTGCATCAGACCATTAAATATATAAAAAGCATTTATATATATTCTTTTAAAAATAATTATGTCAATTATAGAGCAAATATAGTGCACTACAAACTCAGGTTGGTCGGTAAGTGGCGTGTTGGTTCGTCGCCACATTTCGTTAATGGTTGACGAAAACTTCTCTGATCAATTATATTTATTTTTTTTCACATTATATTCATAAGTGTAGTATCCCTGACGGTTCCATTGGGTTCAATCTGTTAATTGTATTGGCATTCTGCTAATTATGCATGACATGTTTAATCAGCATACAATTTCTTAATTGGTTTCAATATCGAGGTTATAAGCACAATGTACACAATTTTGTCCTGTTGATTTTAAACGTAATATCTATTTTTGGTTTATAAAACGGAAGTTTAAAAACTAAAATTAGTTACTATTTCTTCACACGTTGAATATTTACTTTGTGGTATATACCGATAAAGGATATATGAAATGCATTTTGCAAATATTTTATAAAATAAATATAGCGTATTAAAATTGAAATGGATTTATTAAAGCCACTAGAGAAAAGCTTTGTTTGTTTTGATAAGCATAACATATTCAATGATCCAAACACAGGGCAGTTAAAACACCAAAAGATTAACAACGTACAATGGAGTGCTACAAACGAACAACTACGGATGTCCGGCAATTCCGAACATTATGCAACTATTCAAGACAGAAGCGGTGAAAACACGCTTTTTACACCAAACCCTGAATACGATAATGCTACGCCTGGTAAACGTGAAAGTGCCTCGGATTTATATGTGTCTTTTAATACCGGTGATCGACTCCCTACTAGCCCAAATAAAGAAAGAACCGCTGGTTATTCGTATGCTACAAATGGCGAGATACACTTTTTGCGCGATTCAAACAACGAAAACCATCAACGCGAGCAAATCCAACAACTTGAACATAATGAGAAAAATTCTAAACACGATGCTTATATATCTAAATATCAAAGTAAGGGTACTGATGAATCAACTGACACTTATCTTGAACCGAACCCTCGACGGATTGGAGAGAGTGGTGATGATACTAATCATAGCGATATAAGGATAAGTTGGCTTAGTGAAACACATGAGTATCACGAACCTGACAATGGACTTGGGGCAACATTGACGAGTACATATGATGTGGGCAGGGTACGTGTTTATAATTTAGGTAAATTTAAGTAGTTTTAAACGTACTTCACTAAATTCCTTTATAGACTTACCATCCTTCAATTATGACGAAATCGTTTATTATCATAGTGAATATTTTCCAATGAGTACTGGATGAATAACAGACAGTGCAGTTTTTGATCAGACGTCACGAATGCGTCAACTGGTCTTTGTTTGGGTTGAATCGGTGGCTCTACCAGACACAGGGTTAAGAAGAAAAGACAAGCAGTCACGTAGGGGCTCAACTTGTTACTATATATTTGTATTCTTTACTTAATAGACACTTTCTTACAAACTGTTTCGACTGGAAATATTTTTTCAAGACTAGTGTACCATTTGATGTAAGTCACGACTTGTACGCAAAACATCAGATCATTTCTTTTCCTCCGTTTGTCCAGAATAATTATCTTTATTGTGCAAGCATTTCAAATTTTATTCTTTTAAGACTATTTGACAGTGGAACTCCTTTGACAAATTGTAATGTATGATCCACCTTGATATTGCAGGTGCCTTCAAATAAAATAGTGACAGCACCAAATAAAAAGGAGAAGAAAATATGTAGTAAATGCAAAATAATTACTGGTGTAATTCTGGTTATATTAGTTGCCGCTGCCACTGCCTCTATTGTCGCAGTTCTTATGATTGGTGATTTAAAAGGTAATTTTAAATACGTATCATTCATCAACTTAATGATAACTGCAATACAAATACAAGCAGATACAATTTTAAACTATAAATAAATGCAACTATAGATGTACGTTATGAATAAATATACCAAATACACCCCGTATTAAAATCGCCTTTAATACGTCTGTATTTGGAATACCGGTGTATGACAAATGATGTTTTCAACCTCTTGCCAGGCATGGATTTGATTTGATCATATTAACAATTTAAGTGTACCTTTTTATGTGATGTACGACTGAAGTTTTGCTTTACCTCAGACAATACACTTTATGTCTCTGATTATGTTTACAGTGAAAGTGTATGTTTTGACATAATGCTTTAAGGTGTTCCTCATATTAGCACGTGAATTGAGAAAATAGTGCAAATGAGGATACAAGCATAAATTTTTTTAGGAAATCATCTTTAGAGCCATGTAGATTTTAAAAGTGAATTGGGCCTAAAATATCTTAGCTCATTCAAAATCATATCACACTTCCTTTTACTAATTACTTTTAATTATTTACTATTTATATTTCACCTACCTTTACTTTCTTTTGTCGTATTTAAGGTATAGGTTATTGACATCTTCGGATAAATTGCATCATTTTCAAATTAACATGCTACATACCATGACAAGGCTTAATCGAACCAAGCCTGAAAGAACATAGGAATATCTTCAATTATATCTCCATATGTATTCAAATGCTTTTTAAGTAATTTTCCGTCTCATTAACCAATTTCACATGTAATAAACCATTATTTTCAGTAATTTATGTAATATATGTTCATGTGATATGTCAATTATGTATTATATTTTGTATTTGTATAATTATGTAATATAGTGATGAACTTCTTTTAAACCAAGTAATAAAATTTTGTTCTGATCTCTCCATTGGTAACTAGACTTTCTATTTATTGACAATTTAAAATTATAGCACACTTTTTTTAAAAGAAAAATTTAAGAAATAACCAAACATTCTTAAAGGCATTGCCTTTAATTTTATGTATGTTTTATGTATGGACGTTGTTGTTGACTTGCTCCTGTTTTTTATGATATGAAATACATTTATATATTAATATAATTATAATAATTATACTAATCAAGTATTCATATTAACGAACTTTGAATTAAATCACTTAAGAATTAAGAAACTATAAACCGTATCAAATTAAATTTCATTATTTATACTACCGCGTCACCTATTTTTTCTGACTTGATTACAAGTTTATTATTTTGAAATTAAAGTGAACTATATGTTCGCCTTTTAAAAACCATCTCCTAAAATGCCACAGAAAAAGAAAATTTGATCTTTTTTTTAATTTGGCTTTAATTTTTGATCCTTGATTATCGTTCAGTGCGACATTATTGTTGTGCTTGTGGTAATTTAGTTCTTTCTATTAGGCTATTTTCTTGCTGGGTTGTTCCAGTATTCCTCCCTTGAATACTGATAAATCACCCTTAAGCCTGCTTTTTAAATGTGTCTTTTGCCGTCTTATCTGTGATATGCAGGCTTCATAACCTCTGATCCCCTTTTAAATTTCCATTTTATTTAGTTCTGTCCATTATTTTCTCGTTTAGGGCACACGCATGTTTTTCTTGGGGACTATATTCCGCTTTTCTTGGAATGGCAATTACGTGCCACATTGTAAGTGCCACATTGAAGTTTCCATGATAACCGCCATATGAACACATCTGCGCATGTTCAAAATTCAAAATTGTACCAGTTCATGTTAAATATTAAATTCTGCTTAAGCCGGTGCTAAAGGGCGTGGACGGTAACTTGCACTTTTCAATACCATCCATGAACAGGCTCAATCAAATCGCGCCTGCAACATTTACAATTTTGTCTTGTAGGACTTTCTTTAAGGATTCTGTTTGACAATGTCTCTATTTTATTTTATTTTGTATACCATAATAGTAGACAACGAAAATGAATTATCGTTATTTATCAACTGAATATAAAAATCTTATTTTTCGTACATTGCAGAGGATGACAACATGTGTGACTACAAGCATGGATGTCAGACAAAGTGTCAAAAATACCCAAATTTGTCCAACGGCCATACCAATATTACTGAGGAGGTATTACCACAAGTGGCTGTTAAGATAACATGTAATAAAGGTTTTGAAGTAAAAGAAATAGATACGGCAATTTGTCTAGAAACGGGCTCTTGGAGTGAAGTAATTACATGTGAGCCAGTTGACTGCGGGATATATAAGCCACCTAACCATGTTCATACTCAACACTCTGTACATGAAACAACATTGGGGTCATCAATTAATCTTCAATGTGAGCCTGGTTTCCATTTTACAACATCTAGTGGTAGTTCCGTAATGTGTAACGAAAATGGCGTGTGGGTCGGAAATCCAAAATGTGAAAATTTAGGTAAGATATTGCAATTTTCGTCTTAAAATGGTTGTTCACTTTTGTAACATAATGATTCCTTTTAATTTTTTTATTAAATGTGATTTATATTTGCTGCAACGTCTTAAAATCAGACTCAATCAAACAAGGCCTGTATTATTCTGAAGTTTTTTTCCGTTTTGGTCGACGTTCAATGTTTCCACCTTTGGTTATTTTTACTACAGAATGTACTTTTTTCTTTGCATTTGTACTGATTGTATGTTTCAGTTGATTTATCTGTAGACACCGATAATGTCCTCATCGGTGGAATGGCAACCTTGTCTTGTGAATTCAGAAAAATACCAAACTGGAGGAATATAAAGTTCAAACGCATTAACAGAAAAAGTGAATCCGTAACAATTGCCTCTGTTGTCAATAATGTAGACTCGTACAAAGTGACTACAGACAGTGATAGAATTATTATCATTGACAAAACATTTACGCATGAATCGGGTACATTTAAAGTGATGATTGAGACAGTCAAATGCTCCGATGCTTTCGAAGAACCCGGTGAAATAAACATAACCTGTGATATTGAAACAAGTGATACTGTGAACACATTTCGTGATGAAAAAATTGTTCGAATACAAGGTTTGTTATAGAACTCCTTTTAACCTTTCGCAACATAATTAAGTAATAGGTTAGTGCACAATTGCCTTACATGTAACATGTTTGTTAGTAACAAATCTTCAAGAAAACTTCGACTGCCTTTAGCCTATTTTAGTTATTTATAATCATCCTTCTCAATTGAAAAATATATGTCTGCTTTATTGCATACAATGTACATTGATACATTTATTTAACACATTGAGCGTGGTAAGGGTTAAAGGGACTTCACTGAGGATTTTTTGACATGACGAGACTGGAAACAATGTTTTCGAGATAAATATTCTATTAGTTGAAGGTCTTGACCAGTTACTTGTATGCAAAGTTTCAGATTTTTCGATTACTTCATTTTACCATTATGATTATTCAAAATTAATGTGAAATGTATCAAAAAAATGAAATTTCAAGAGTCCTAGTTGATCTTTTTAAGAAATTCAAATCTTATGCGTTTAGACCTTCAGTTCGTTAAAAAGTAGCGTGTTCTTTGATATGATATTTTTTTTGGAAATGTTTATCCCTTAGGCAAACCGGTTAAGCCGGAGCTTTTCGTGCCAGCCCAAGTTGTCGAAGATGATATCAAGTCCACACTTTTTCATTGTGAAATGTTGTTTCCGGAACCGAACGGTCACGTCAGAATTGACACTGGCAATGATGGTTCCTTTACCACTTTGTTGTCTTCTCCAAACATTGGGTAATCACAAATATCAATAATCATTAATATTGATCAATCGGTAATAAAATTAACCAGACATGAATAATAATTCACTTTTTGACAGATCTTTTAAATCACAATTAATTCATTTATTTGTATGTCAAATATGTGTTATAATTATGATAATTTTCAATTTCTTCAGGGAAATTCAACTCCAATAATTTCAGTAATGTTTGTTATAAAATCAATATTTATGTGCTTTTCCCGTCTTATCTGCATGACATTATTACCACAAATCAAATTGATTAATATCCCTTCATTAATGAACTAATAAGAATTTAGTCATATTTTTATATGGAAAAGGCCGATAATTTTTTTTTCAAGTGAGGGGCCTTATGTTTGGTCCTCTTCAAACGGTGTAAGCAATACAAATGCGGCGTGGATTGATACCATAAGGTTTGACTTGGATAATTGCTGGTATAGGATGAAAGTTACATTTGGCCTAAAAAATGTTTCAATGGAATGGCACAGGAAACATATTAGATGCACTGCAAAACCGTCAGAAGAAGCATATGACCAAACAGTGTTCACATCTGAGAGTGGCGTCGTAAAAGTTATACAAGGTGACTATATGTTTATTTTTGACCTTTGTTGTTGTTTTTGTTTAACTTTCTTCTGCACATATTTAGAATTACAATGTATGTGTTACAATCTTTTCAAACATGATAAGAAACCTTTATTTGCTTCGAATTGTTCACTTCTTATTTTAGGATGGTAAAAGTCTGGTATTTGTTTTGGTACACTACTAATTTTACATATATTGTATGTCAGAAACTTTTTCTTATTGCTGACTTCTTATTTTATAGATACTTTATGCAATGGTAAAAGTCAGGTACGGTACCCGTATGACTGCGAACATTTCATCGTTTGTGATGACAAGAATCACTTTAATTCAGTTTTGGAAGTGAGAGCATGTGACAACAATGCATGCTATGACGATCAATCTCAAACATGCATTCCTTGTTCGCCATCAAGAGGTTGTCCAATAACAGGTAATAGTGATAACTCGATGACACTTTGAATAATTAAGTCTCTATCACACCGGCCGCACGAAACTTGGTTCGTAAGATTTGTAGAGAAGTATGTGCCGTAGAAAAGTCTCAGGCAATTTCGCAGTCTATCAAGACATCGTAAGATTTCGGTTTGCAATAGTCGTAAGATCCTAGTGCGGTAAACCTGCGGTCCTCGAAAGACAAACCCAAAACATTTTTACACGAGCACCTCTAGAAATCGTGCGTCTGCCGTATGACTGTCTTGCGTCTTAGGACATCCAAAATCTGTTACAAAATCGCAGAATTAATGTGCATGTTGAGAAATTATTGAGGCAACCTTGCGACCTTAAAGAATTTGTACAAATGTCTTGCGGCTCCCGCACGAAACACAGCGATTTTAGACAAAATCCGTTCGTACGGCTGTCGTAGGGCTGATGTGATAGAGGCCGTAGGTGATGGTTGACCAAATATCTGCAATTGTCTGGCAATAAAAGCCCATGCGCATGGTCTCCTGCATACTGTTACCTTGCAAATGTTCAGACTTAAGAATATGTTCGTTTGTTTTTCATGAACTTTATTAGCCATTTTTATTCATTAAAATACCTGAGATGTGGTACATTAGTGAGAAGTGAAAACCTGAAGTATTATATTTGGTAACTTTATGATTTTCATGAATATAAGCATAAGCATGGTTGGGTCGTCTGAAGTATGTGCTTTTAATAAGCTGTAAAAATTCTTAAAGAGCTTGCAGGACACACGTTCGTGGTTTCAGTTAATATTGCATTTCAAACTATATTGACTTGCTTATCGGCATACATTACACCGTCTATTGTTTTTGTAATATGAATTTAAAAACAAGTATAAAAGAACGCCTAAACGGTTTAAATGAAAATGTGGCTGACTTAGTTTAGCCTATTTATAAAAGGTAACGATATATGCAAGTTATCGTCCACGACGGTGCCACCGACTGATAGTTTGACACCAGTTGACTTTTTTCTTGATTTTTGTGCCTAAATAATATTATATTAATCCTTTCTTATGAACCAAGTTTCTTTTTAAATTTCAGACATTTTCTTCAGTGACAGACATTCAGCTACTATTGGGGGACAAATTGACATTGTCTGTATCGTGGAAGACTTAAAAGGGCTTACTGACATTAAGATCACAAGGGCTAATGGAGAGTTTGTATCGTCGATCAAATCAGGAGATAATATTAGAATACCGAATTTCAACATAAAATCGGATCAAACTTATGTTAATGAAACGCATGGAAAGTTCACAATACATGTAGACTTTCTTCTGTGTACTGATAAAGGAACATATCGATGTAGTCCGGAAGGAACTGGAGATGTACAGTCAGAAGACGTTATAGACCTTGACCTGAATTGTTGAAAATATATGTATTAAAACGTTTGCATAACAGCATACCACATTACCTTAGTTAAATAATATTTATTGCATATATCAATATACAACAACAAATATCACAATATAGAAAAGGATTTGGCCAAAAGTTTTTACAACAGTATTATGGGCCATTCCACTACATGTATATCGAAGCACTTAGCTGAACAAAAGTGCTAGTTCAGTAATCATAAGGTTGCAGGTTTTACCCCAGCTCCAAAAATAGTAAAGAAATGAACCGAAAAGAAGAAATATCATCAACATGTATCTTGCGGCACGAGATTAATCTTGTTAATCAGCTGGTTCATTGAGTTTTAACCTGTTTAGTTCCCTCTTAGTTTCTAAATAAAAAATACAGATCTTTGGCGATTTGTTTTAAAACACCAGAAACACAGTGAATATTTTGTTTTAACTTTTTCGGTTCCGAAATTATACCATATTTATGACTTGATACATTGATGCAGTTACTCAAATATTTCACAAAACCAGATGACATGCCGGTATTTGGAGGGAATGCACCCGATCATACCTTTTTTGCCTAATCCTTCAACATATTGTATAGATAGTATATGAATATTTTACTGAATGTATTATAAATGCAATAACTTATTTGTGTCTACGAAATGTGATATATCTGTATCATATTTCCTATTTACTTTATATTCATGTGAACATACATTCATTTTGCAGATCTAACCGCATTTTGAATCAAAACGTGTCATGCCTACAGTGTTAATATAGAATGGCATTTCTACAAATGGCATAACACAGATCGTTTCATATTTAAAGTAATACAAATTTAGTCTAAACATACTCGTGGTATATTGCCATAAGTTAAGTTCAATGTAAACTGTACACTATTATATAATTTACAATATTCTAACTGCTTATCAAATCGACCTGTTGTAAACATATTGACTTAGCTATTATAGTCGAGTATGATTATAACAGGGTGAGAAAAATGTGCAGCCTGGCCGGGACTCAAAAACAGGACCCTCGGAATATCCGGTCGCTTACACATCTCCCCTAAATAATGAACAGTTCTGAACCGTGACATGATGAAGAATGCATATATATTACTAGGTCGACTTTCTCATTTGCAGCCGTAAATAGAGTAGCACGTGGAGGTCGCTTCGAAGGTATTTTATTTACAAAGTAAATCATTTTAATCACACACTGATTCCTTACGGTGCGTTTTTTTTTCATAATGCCTTTTTAGACTTACCTTATCATTGCCATCATCATCATCATCAGCAGCTGATGTAGGAGCTTTGTCATTGTCATTATAATCACCACCATCATCATCGTTGTCTTTGTCAACATTGTCATTAACATTTTATTAATTTACCTGTAATAATTGTTGTTCTGATAATCAATGTATTACTAATTGTTGCTTTTGTTACTGCGATTTTGTTGTTTATATAATGTTTAATGTATTTTATTTTAAATTGCTGTGCAGAGCGTATATTAAATCAAAATTGTTGATGAATCTCTAAAAATAGATTTACCTTAACTTTCAAATATACATCTTTTAAACAAATAAAGAAAAAAATGTTTAAGTTCTTATGATACTCATCCATTACTTATCGTTTCCATCCCCGTTTAAGTTTGAACCATTAACCGGGTAGCAATAATTACATTATCTATGTTTTCACTACACCAGTATGTTTGGTTGCAAAGACAACTTGCTATTACATGTTTTATAAAATGCGTCGCAGTTTATCTCAGATTTTTGTCAGAATTAAAGGTTCAGTGATAATGATAGATCGTGTTTGTCGGGATTCTTTTTTCAAAATTTAGATATGATAGACCAGTGGCAATAGATTAAAGAAATGACAAGGAAGTGACATTCGATATTTTTGTATTGACACTACAATAGAATCCACTCCGCGTGAGGTAGTGACTTTGACACTGCTATTTTTTTTCTAAAATGTAATAAATTTTATTTGTTATCCCAAGTGCAATGATACCAATAAGAAGATTAAAAAGCCTATTTTTACTTTGTTATGTAGGCGAAATATGTGCATGAATTTTAATTACGAAGACGATCCTACGTTGTTTATGTTTAAAGAACTTAACTGTAAACAACTTCTTTTCAAAAGACTCAGGCAGTTTAATAATAAATAGCAAATAGAAACTACATAATAAAATAGAGAAAAACAGAGCCGAACACTGCAAAAATTGTTGCAGGCTCAGTTTGATTGAGCCTGTTCATGGACGTTACTGGAAAGTGCAACTTAGCGCTCACGCCTATATGTCTAGCTATTTGAAGTAATCAGAAACCAGAAGCTTGATTGGTCCTTGACTGATAATCAGAAGGACAGAAAAGGAAATTATATTAATATGGAACACCTTAATAATAATATACGATGCGTTCTATCTTCGTAAAAAGAAATGATAAACACTCTCAGGGCCAAATTCAAGTTTGAAACACATATGATTATGCGAATGTTTAGTAAAAATGAATTTAACAAAAATGTGTGCATAAAATTAAACTAGCTTTAAATACTGTGTTATTATCATTGTTATATCACACCCCTCTCGTCTTCAAGAGAAATTTTCCGCCAGCCTATAATGCGCGTGCTATGGATTACTGGTTGGCCTCTAATTGAATCATAAACCTTTCTGTTTTAACATATACACTACAGGATAGCCTTGTAACAAAACGCGTGTATCAATCAAAGGGCTGCAAGCTCTGTGGTATTCTGATCTGTGCAAATTGTACTGTTTATCTGTATGTATTTTCATGTATAATTTATTTTTTATATACTATAATTTATCTTACGGTGCACTGAGATGCAGCGACTGCGTTTAGAAGTTTTTCTATAACAGTTTGAGTTTAATACATACAGAATTTTGCATGACTAGAATTGCATCAAAAATCATTTATGTTCATTTTTTATGACAGCCACACTTTATCCTTGCATATCGTGGCTACTTCCTAAAAAAAGACACTAAAATAGTTGCCTCGACTGGGAAGTAAACCACCCGATATCTCACATGCAAAACGAGCGCGTTACCCCCTGCACCACGGGGAGGCTACACGACGAATGCTTGAATAAAATCATATAATTCTAAATTTAGAATTTTCAGTTCGGGTTTGTAATCATTATTTATTTCGATGTATTTTGTTCACGATAAACCTGTTGTTTAACACTGATGTAAATAATTTAGCGTAAATCTTCTCGCCAAAACAGTCCAAAATGTATATATTCCACTATTTGTTAAGTTCTTAAGTATTCGGTAATCGACATTGCTAAAATAGTATTTTCATTGATTAAAATGATATTTATCTGCGTAATTTGTGATTGTGCATTTATTGACATTTCTATAAGCCAACATACTTTTAAACTTTAAATGCGTTGTAATTTGTTGGATACTTGTAACAAAATAAAAATATTTCTTTCTTTTACATCGGTAGTTTTAAGAACTATTTGTTGTTAGGTTTGTCTTGTAATTTTGTGCCAGCGATTGAATGTCAGCATTGTATTTCCTGATCTGCGATCAGAAAATACAAAATCCGTCTGCTAAATGATGAGAAATGCACTAAACTTGAAAGGAAAGTAAAATGAAAACTTAATTTAAATTTCACCTGTTCATTCACTAAATACCCTTTTATGGACATAAAGTCACTTTAACTTAAACAATTTGTACCAGCAACAACTTATAAACTTTAAGGCTTTCTTTTATATTTACAATATACTGATACAACAACCATTTTGAAAAAAAAAGCTCAGTAGTTGTTTATCATTGCAGATTGCTTATTATTTGTTGCCTGCAATTAAGTTTAAGTTAAGAGATAATTTGAAGAAAAACACACACACACAGACATAGTTTACATCGATTTGCTTTATAACCATTATATTTGTTTAATATTTCAAAGAGGAGTAATCTGATATCTCAGCTTATTACAAAGGCGAAAAATAAACTGTGAATTGTGAAGTCCAATTGCCAAAATTTGTTGTGCCATAACCCATTAACAAACCGTTTACTTGATAGCCGTGAAATAAAATTATAAACGGTTCATTCATAGTTATTGTATGTAATCAGTGTTTTTAATCATGTTATGTATTGGCTTGAACTTTACGATGTTTCTGTTTACAACTGTCACATGGCAACTTGAAAACATACATAAGTAATTGATGACTGAAGCCTGTGATTGATTTTCTCCATAACAGAAGAGACAAAATAAATTGTACTGGCTAATTAATTTTTCACTCTTTAAAATAACATGTACAAGCACGTTCGCTTAAATTCATGATCGTCGTAAAATAAGTTAACACTACGATCTTTATCCTGATTCATTATATTCTTTGTTCAGCACCGGGTATTTTGAATACGTTCTTTGTATTCTAAAGTATTTTGTATTGAAACCATTCAAAAGAAAATAATATCAGCATGCAATCTTTATCTTGTGACAATAAACTCTATCTATCTAACGTTCACTGTTTATCCTCAATATATACACCCGGTGTCGTGTAATAATCACACGGGCGTAATATTATAATCCATGCAAAAAAAACACAATTATTCATTGGTATATAATGACTGCATTCAAGATGCAATAAATCAATTTTTTTTACAAATTGTTATCTAAAAAAAAATTGTCATACCATTTTAAATACAATTCTACTTGACTTAACTCAAATTCATCTGGCTTCTTTTTTCTTTCAAAGAAAGCATTGGATTATTCAAAGAAAACATGTTTACGAATCATGACTCAAATATTATCCATTTTAAATTTATTCAACTTCATGTACTATTAAATAACAAAATTCAGTGGACGTCCGCTCGGACATCTACTGTAATGAATAAATAGATATGACTCGGGATAAAACTTTAAAAGACTTAAAAGGTAGAGCATTGAACTGTGAATCGGGTGATATTGGTTCGAGTCTTGGATGGTGCAGTCACTTTTGTTGTGATTGATCATGAAATTGATCTATTCTATGGTCATTTACACTGTACCACTGCTTTTGCATGTACAGGAGTACCTTGCGAAAGTGATGAAAAAGCTGTCACATGAACGATGAAGTGGATAAACTGTGCTCTGGTTAACTCAATGTGGCTTACTGCCGTGATCCGGAGTGAAATATACAAACACCACCACAAGACGTTAAAACATGATCCCGTTAAAAGCCGCTTTATTGCCTGCTCGGTCCAGATCCAGATAGTTTTATTGAAATAGAGAAGCGTTGTGAAAACATGTCTAGATACATTTTGCTTCTTTACATACACGCATATGAAAACAATTCGTTTATCATTCAAAGATATGTGTAAACGTTATTGTGAAATGATAAATAACATGGTGGAAAAAGGAATAGAGGTGTTTGGGCTAAATCGTAGACTTAGTTTATAGCCATATCATTCTTTTTATACACGAAAATGATGAGAGACGAGGAAAAGTACAACATCTCCCTCACTCGCTCCTGGCAACTTGCATTAACTTCAACTGCGCATGTTACAACAGGTAAATCACTGACTAATAAAGAAAATTAAAAAATGACGTAACAATTTACATTGTTTCATCAACCAGTGGTGACTGTCGCTTAATTTAAATGTTAATCAAGAAATGTGTATTTAATCTTGCAGAATAGGCATAGCATTCTGTCAATCCAGGAAGATTACCAGCTCAGTGGTTAAGGAAGGCTTCAAACTTTATTATGTTGAGGATATATGTTTCAGATTTTTGCAAGGTTTTTCGATTATTATGTAAAGGGTATTTATTTGGGTTTTTTTGTGTGAGATGCAATCTACTATGTGTTGTTTTTCAAAATCAGAATTTTCGCGTGGGGCGTAATCACGAGTGAGTGAACTGTTCTATTTTTATTTTTTTTCAAAAAAACATTTTCAATTCTTCTGGGTATTCTTTAGTGATTTCTTTCTTTCTTTCTACTTTCTTTTTTATTTCAGTACAGTTCCTTTAAAAACATAAAATAAAAACTGTGTTTACAGTAAAAGGGGCGCACTGTATTTATCTTCGTCCGTTTAGTTGAAACATTGTTACGGTATAATGATAATTTCTCACCATATCATAGAAAAACAACAACTGGATATTGATTGAAAATGAATTTTTTTTAAACGAACATGAATGAGTTGTATGAGCATAGCTATCCAAAACAGTAAATATTCAGCCCCCCACCCACCCCCCCCCAAAAAAAAAGAACCGTATGATATACATGTAATTGAAATCGATTTATTATTAGACTTGAGCATATTTTAGAGATTGCTATGTTTGTTTGTTTTCATTCGGTTTTACGTCACACAGACACAGTATAGGTCATTTGGCGACGTTCCAGCTTTACTGGTGGAGGAAGACCTCAGGTGCCCTTCCGTGCATTATTTCAGGCACGAACGGGCACCTGAGTAAAACCACCGACGTTCCGTAAGCTAGCTGGATAGCTTCCTCACATGAAAGAATCAAAAGTCCCTGTCGGGATTCGAACCCATAGCGGTGAAGGGCAAGTGGTTTGAAGTCAACGACCTTAACCACTCGGCCATGGACGGCCCTTTTTATGTTGTTAATTTTAGTCTTTTACAATAAATGTTGATGATGATGATAATGAAGATGATGATGAAAATGATGGTTGTGATGATACTGTTTTTCATGATGGTAATGACGGTGATAAAGATGTTGATTACAGTCGTAGGTCTTAATGACAATGATGATGATGTTAATGATGATGAGAATGATGATGATGATGATGATAAACAAGATAAATAAAAGATGTAATAAATAACACCTAACGCTACAATGATTTAAAGACGGTTCCGGGAGTAGTGTTACGTTTTACAAACTTTAAGACAAACAGGAATTTTTTAAGCATGAATGGAGTACTTTTTCGAAACGTTAGCGATTAAAAATTATTATGATTGGACCAAATGTTTGAAGAAACATAAGGACAACCATCCCCCTTTTTAATTATTTGTCCCTAAAAGTGAGTTCTAACGCCGAAAACGTCTTTAAACAAACAAAAATCGTAACACACAAAATATTTATTTTAATTTGAAAACGAACTAGAATATTGAAGAAAAAAACAATGTGCACAAAAAAAAGAGTGACTATTAAGTAAAAACCTGAAACAGAGAAAGGCAATCCACATTGACAATTCAAGATACAAGATACATATGTTACGTATTTCAAAGAAAATCATTTTTGAAGATACAGGAATGTTTGAACAGTCGACCTTTCTTATTTAACTTTTCGTCCTACTTTTACCGATAAAAAAAGTTCAATTTCCTTTTAACATAATTATTTTTAGATAAAATATTTTATCCTTTTTCCTTTAAACAATAGATACTTGCAGTTTAGTATAAAACTTCCCCTATTCTTCATTCCTGATATCGTGTATTGGTAACTAAAGAAAAAAATCAACAACAATTACTTATAAATTGCGACTCATAGGTATGTTTCATGAAAGTTGTATTGTGCGCGAAAATGAAATTGGAACTGAGTCGAGTTTTCAATATCCGCAGATTCCAACTATCAGTAAGGACGTGAAAATGTGGTGATAGAAATAGTTCACGCGGTCAAACTTTAAATACACAATAAATTATCATTTTGGGTTGTGAATATTAATACATTTATTCTTAAATTTTAAAGAATATTGTAAAATTTCTTACAGTATTAAAGTAAATTAGTTCGTAAGAAAAGATCTGATATAATTATGTTGATAGCTCGTCTTAAGTTTCATACGTTAAAACAAACCACGAGAAACTATATATGGATCTTGTTTATAAGTGTTAGGTGCATTATTTGATGACATATCATATACACACGTATCAGAGCAAATTAGTATCCACCACAATGATATTCTATCATATATTTATTACATATTATAATAATTGTATCATATCAAATATATGTTCATACCACTCTGGAACTCAAACAATTCATAAGAATACCAGTATGATACAAGTTTATTGTTTGTTTTAATACTTGAAATAATAAAATGCTAATTGTTGACTTAACCACTTTAACCCATTGATAAATATCCTCAAGTTTGATCTTCAAAAGAAGAGCTGTAAATAATCTTTAAAATTCCTAGAAAAAAATCTATATAGGCTACAGTCAGAAACATCATGACTATGTTATACGCCAAATATCACAATTTTCTTTCAGTCATTTTCAAAAGTACAAGATTGACAAATACAAATACACCATTACCAATTAATTGTGAAAATCACATCTATAAGATTGGTTCATAAAATTTGATTGGCATCAATAACATTAATCTCATAAAAAGTGTAACTTTCCTGTCTATGTAAATGTCTTTCAAACACTCATTTATTACTTCACATATTACTGGGTCAACAAGATGAACAATATCTACTGTTACATATTGGGTCTGAGTCCCAAAGAGAACACGACCCTGAAGCACACTCTAAATCATATAAACGATTGCCAACACATCTAATGAATCGTCTGCAATTATAGGGATGAGGGTCATAGTCGCCTGTTTCGTTAAAGAGACAAACATCTGAAAACATATATGAAATAGTGATGAATCAAATGTCATTTATCAAAGTCAAAATTAAACCTTAATCTGAAGATTTTGTGTGACAGTTTTCCGCTTTTAATTTTGACCAGTTTTTTTAGGCTTAAGGGTCACAATTTCAAAATATAATTATGTAGCTTGAAATCATATAAAGTCAGTGTGACCAGATTTGGGTTACTTGGATAGGGGTATATGTTTGGATTCGATAAGGTTAGGTGTTAAAGAAACAGCTTTGATACATATTTAAATATGCTGAAAAAATAAACATGTAGTGAAAATATGAGTTTAGCACAAGATACGTATCATGAATATGAAAAATCAGAATACATTTATTCCTTTATAAAATGAAAATCCTTTTGAAACCATACAGAATTTTTTTTACTGTTTCCAAGACTCTTACTAACAGCTAAGTATGTACTTGCGTATCAGCAAAGGAAAATTGAACAACTAGAAATGTGTCATCATGCCACAGATGCCCCTGCATGCAGCCAAAATTTCAGATGTTATAATTATATTTAGTTCCAAATTTGTTTGCACAAATTATTGTTTTCATTTTAAGTTCAAAGCCCTTAAAACTTTTCAATGTTAACACAAACCATTTTCATACAATGTTCAAGGCACTGAAATTATTCAGTCTTAACCTTTTGAAAATAGCATATTTCATATTTGTAGCCAAAACAATGGCTACATACATTTCCATAAAAGTATGAGTGCTGAAACTGAAAGTTCAAAATTTTTCCAATATTCAAGAAAGATAAGTTTGTCCAAAATCATTAAACCACGACCTAATTCAAACTTAAACTGCTTATTCCTAAGATGTATCTATATTATTTTCAAAGTGAAAGGGACATAACTCTGCCAAAAAATCATCGAACCATGACCAAATTCCAACTTGACCTGCCCATTCCTTTGACATATCCAATTATGTCAAATTTGAGTTGAATATGTAACACTGTTGGGTAGATCTGATAATGAACAGAAACTGTAAATTTCATATTATTTTCAAAGTGAAAGGGGCATTACTCTGACAAAAATCATTGAACCATGACCAAATTCGAACTTGGCCTGGGCATTCCAAAAACATATCCATATGTCAAATTTGAGTTGAATGTGTTGTACTGTTAGGGAGATAATAAACAGAAACTGAAAATTTCATATTATTTTCAAAGTAAAAGGGGCATAACTCTGCCAAAAATCGTCGAACCAAGACCAAATTCGAACTTGACCTGTATTTTCTCATGTCATATCCATATGTCAAATTTGAGTTGAATGTGTTGTACCGTTGAGGAGATAATGAACGGAAACTGAAAATTTCATATTATTTTCAAAGTAAAAGGGGCATAACTCTGCCAAAAATCATTGAACCATGGCCAAATTCAAACTTGACCTGTATTTTCTCATGACATATCCATATGTCAAATTTGAGTTGAAAATGTGCAACTGTTACTAAGATAATGAACGGAAACTGATGATGACGGAATGACAGAATGACGGAAGGACGGAATGACGGAAGGACGGAAGGACGGAACAGGGTAACACTATATGCCCCGGCCATTACATGGCGTGGGCATAAAAACATTAAAATCCCCAAACCTCCAAATGTTAAGGTATACATCACTCTAAGGCCATCGCAAATTTTATGAAGACCCATTAATACAAGAATGATAGCATTGTTTAAAAGATACATTATCATGGATCGGTGATTAATAAATTTCTATATAGCTTATTTTATAAATAGTTTTATAACACGTTTCTGTTATTTGTTTCGTGAATTCTGGGTAAACACAAGGAAGTTTTTTGGAAAACAGCAGTTATAAACCTTATGTTTACAAAATATTAAGAAGTGTTTATGAGTAAGAGAACAATTACACTAATACTGATCCTGATTGTTAAAATGTTGTCATATAGATAGCAAGAGGGTTTTTTTTGCACAATAAAGTAAAACATGTGTTATGATAATTGACTTAAGATTATACTGCTTTCGTAGCATCTTTAAAACGATTCGTTTTTGTGAGTGTTTTCTTCTCTGAATGATTATTTTTAAATTTGTTACATCAAGCTTTACTGTTTCAAATGAAAGAACATTTCAGACATTAGGGGCTTTATTGTTATCCGAAATGAGACACTAACGTGTACCGATAAATCAAATCATACGATCTAAGGCACGACTGGGTTGTAAGAAATCAAATGAAATATTTATGTAATCCTTTACTCATCTCAATCGCCAACTGACAATATTGCATTATGGAAAAGTATTGCAATAGGCTGATAAAAACTAATAGGTTTTGGCAAACCTACTATTAAAGCGAAATATGTCTGTTAATTTTCTATCAAAGGGCAAACTTACTTTTCAGGATTCGAAGTTCTTTCTCGGTACTAGACGTTATTACATTATTGTTTTCATCTGTAACCACACATCTAATAGTCGAGCCATTCATGCCTACCGGAAACTTGTGCTGCGTTCTTTCAATAGAGGAAGCTCGATCGCATTCTCCATTTTCATAAATTTCTGTGATATAATCTTTGAAGGAATCCGAACCTTTAGGTTTATTTTCGATCTTCAACCTCCTGTTTTTTGTAGGATAACCAAGGAATGCATCACACTTTAAAAGGTCCTCCCATTCCGACATTTGTTCTTCTACTATTGTTGTTGGGAGGCGTAAATTAGGGATAGTAGGTGCAGCTTAAAACAAAAACGTATGAATGACTCATTTATACAACAGGAAAGAGACAATGTTTTTAGCCTCATTTTAGAATTTATATTGTCAAGGAAATCAATGTCAATGTAAACAGCGAAGAGGACAGTTGAAGTGATACTCCAACCCGTCATAATATAAAGACATAAAATTGTTAAATTGCAAAGCGTACAAACAATAGTACCAGAAATAAGTCCATGACGTTAATTTGTTGGGTTATAACAACAAAAATCAATTAAAATAGGAGATTCGAGGACCTGGAAAATAAGATTTTCTTCCAGCTTCCAATATGCAGGCAACCGATTAGAAAAAAAACGAAAACAGTTAGTCACTTTAAAGATGTAAGAAGAGATTTGACAATACGAAAAATAACTTGCTGACCTATGACTTTGAAATCCATTGATGTTTTTAAAGTGTTCATTCCTACCGCTTTGCATGAATATATAACTTCATTGATACACGATACGGTATGTATGGTCAGCGTCGTGGTGAAAACTGTACTGTTTTCAGACAGGGTTCCATCCACAGAAAACTCTGCTTCATTGCTACATGTTCCATTGCCTGCTGTGTTTACTTCACATAGTGTTTCTTCGGTAGAAAACCTACTGATGACAACGTAGCTAAGATTTGTCGTTTCAGTGAGGATACATTGAATCGATTTGGTGATTCCTACTGTCCCCGTCTTGCTTTCCTCAGTGAAATATAAAACTGAAATGTAAGATTTATTTAGAAATTCTTAAAAGATAACAATTTACCAAGGCTAAAATTTAACTAAAATCACCGTGTAAGCCATCCATTATGGTATATGGAAACAATTGTGTTCTTTTCACAATGATTATATTATATGTTTTTAGCATTCGTAACATCAAATTATTTTTATATATTGAATAAATCATTACTTCAACAAATACTTACTTGGATCAGTAACATTCAAAATCTCTACATTCGATGACAGTTTAGTTCCATTCGTAAAACTGGTAACACATTGATATCTTCGACCGTCCATTTCGTCTTTGACTTCAAATTCGTGCGTAATTGTTTCAACATTTTCACATGTTTCCGGATTCAGATAAACTTCTGAACTTGAGGGTGGCAATTTTTGAACGACACTATCTTCTGTGATGCTCATTATATGTGGGGGTATACCAATGTTTCCTGTACACTTCAAAGTCGCCTCTTGTCCCTTGTAGAACTTATCTTGTCCTAGCGTAAGAACAGGCACGGATGGATTCACTGGAAAATAATGAAAACTTCTTTTTCTTCTTGATATAAAGATACTATTTTATTCATTCAACTCGTTAAAAACAAATAGTTTAACAGCTAATGAGGTAGTTGTATGCTATTATAGGCTAAGAGTGGGAAACATTCTACGGATTTTGAACATTTCTATTCTGACTAAATGTTAGTTTTAATATAAGATTTCGAAATGCAAATTGTTTTAAATGTATACATATATTTACAAGAATCATCAACTCCAGCTCATCATTATCTAAAAAACGTTGAACACAAGAACCTATACAATATATATACAATATATATATACAATAAAACTGAGACAAAATGCAAGATATTACATTCATTTTTAAGAGCATGGTAATAAAACATACTTTTAAATACTATGCTTTCTGACGCCATCAACCAGCTGTCACCAATTTCTACAGTACTTATGTAGTCTATATCGCCGCCTTTCGTACATGCATCGCTACATGTAACGTTTCGAAATTGAAAAGTCAGTCTTGCTGTCGTATTGTTTATATCACTATCTATCAGGTCGATGTTTTCTTCTATGGTCAGGTTGGAGAGCGTATCATTTTTCTGTATAGAGACAATAGCGATCTCTGTGCCGCTACAGTTTTTTCGCAGTTCTAGTGTACTCCATCCTCGGATATTAGCAAGATGTGTGGAGATGTTAAAGTATTCGCCTATGTCAACTGTAGACGCCGAGGAAGATAACTGTACTAAAATTGTTGAAGCGTGTGTTCAAAATATATACATATTTTTAAAGTTCGCTTTAAGATAAGCAAATCAATCGATCGGGTGAAATCTTCCAAGTTTTTTATATGGTTGAGTGATTGATGTTAATCAAAAGATTAATCTGGAAAAGGGTCACGATTTCAACACTACACTCTCTGTCTATTCACTGAATGTGAGAAATGATTTCTATTGTTAGTTTTACAGGATACAATATTCCACATTATATTTTATTTCGAAAGAAAAAGAGCTTCCATGATGACGATAATAAATAAGACCTCAACTAAATTGAAAACTTATATTATAAACAATTGAAATAACTAATCGACAAAGATATGAAAAAATTAAAATGAATAATAACACACGGACCGTACGGTCACTTAATTAAAGCATTAATTTACTAAAGTTACGAACACTACCTCTTTATAAGAATATAGAAATCATATAACATGTAACCAAAAGGAAAAAACAGAGAAGTATTGCGATGCTAAAGGGTATATCCTTTCAAACGATTTTTAAATTTTTAAGTTGACCCTTACTTTTTGTGGTTGTCACATTCAAGAGAATACTCTTTTTATCGCGACTACCATCATCACCTCGAGCAATACACTGTAACTCAGCTCCATGCATATCATTTGTTACAACGAATGATCCATTAACAAGTTCATCAACTTGGCAGCCGGAAGAATGTGTTGAATCAATGACAGAGTTAATATCCTTGCTTGTTTCCTCGTCCTATATAAAAGTAAAAATAATACATTTTCAACATAATATCAAGGAAAAAGTTGCGAACGTGATTGTGATCTTTGAAAATATTAGCTATAAAATATGTTTCATTATACGGTGTCTTCTTAAGTTACTTTGTTAAATTATGACATCATATTTCAAAAAATCAACAACCAGTATACAAGTTTTTCTTATTAAGTGTCACAATAAGCAGGGTCTAGCACAAAATACACTATAATATATTTGTAATGAGATAGTTTTGTATTTGATACAAAATTATAAAACAATAAAGCAAATTATATTAGGTAAATGTTGTTGATTCTAATTTCTGTCAGAAGCAAATCGTTCTGATGAAAGTAATTCTGGTTATTTTCACATGCACGGATTTGGGGATGTTACGTCTAAGTCATATTAGTCATAGATACAAAAATATTACATATCACCTGTAGCATTCTAATGGATACCTATCAAAACTATAATATGTCCGGGTTGTTTCTTTGGGTATTTTTGTTTGTAATGAGCTGCCGTTTAATACTGACTTTTATACAACGAGTCTGTAAAGTCTGTGTTAAAAAGTGAGATTATTACAACCGCTAGGGGGCGTGGACAGTAATATTCACATGTCATTACCGTCCATGAAAAGTCCCAATCAAACCGACCCTGCAACATTTTAATTTTTGTTAGAATCCCCGTTGTACTTGGCAACATCTAAAAAGACCTTACTCATGTATGATAGATTTTACATGAGTTGTCATGTGATTAATAATCGGGCACAGTGGTTTTATGGTAGCACTGTCTTATTACAAGTGTGAGGGTCTCGAGTTTCATACCCCATTACACAAAACTAAATTTACAATCATTTCTTCAATGAGACTAAAGAATTCAATTTTCCCTATAATGGCGCCTTACGCATTGTAAAAGAAAGAACTGGCTGCTTCTACGACAAAGTAATATTGCCTTATCACCAAAAATTAAAATTAGTGATTCGCCCATGTCTGTTTTCGGCTCACAATAAGCATTTGTGACGGTCGAGCCTATGTGGTCTTTAATGTGCATTAACTTGTATTTGTTTGCTTGAGATTCAATAAAACCCAATAATGATTTAAATATTTACATCACGTGATACAAAATGCTGGAAGTGCATTGGTTACATATGTTAAGGTGTGAAATTAATAAATTTACCGAACGTGTCTATGAAAGAGTTACAAAGCAAGTCTATATGGAATCTATTAAATTTATAAAATGGGTTCGAATTGTAAATACAATTACAACAAAACTGAATATTTCACAACACGGTGTTATAAAGCAAATTTACTTCAAACAACGTTACAACGTCCATATGTTATAAAATCTTAAAATGCATTTCCTTCACTTTGAAATACAACATTGGCGATCATACCCAATATATTCTCACAGATATGTTTCCGAGTTTGTTCTCGTTTTCATCTTTACCAATAAGTCCCTTGCACACGACATTGGCATCGTCCCCTTGAACATAGGATGTTGAAGCGATTATTTCCTTTATTTTTGAAGCCGTTTCTGAAATCATACGATCCAAAGCATCATTTGTCAGACATTATTCCTTATTTATTCAGTATTTGATAAATTTGGACAGATATATTATTTCGTATGCTTAAAAACGGGATGATTTACCTAATTTCAAAATATGATATAAGTCGGTGGTTGTAAAGATTAGGAACTACCGGTATCAATAATATAAATAAAAGAAAATGAATATGGTAAGTACTTGATAGAAAAAGAGATGTTACCTATCACTTTGATTTCTGTCGACGTGTTTTTTTGGTCTGTAGGAACTTGTATATCACCAACAATCACGGCACATGTGTAAACCCCTGTGTCATCACAGTTAGCTGTATCGAACGTTAACTGAAGGTGGACACCATCTCTGAAAGTTGACACTTTTTCCCGGAAAGTGGTTGCACCATACCGTATACCACTGGTATGGTTGTAAGTGATGCTGAATAATGGGTTTGGAACAGAATCATTTGAGAGGCTAGATCGAGATACCATGACTGTTCGCCAACTAGATGATTCTCTGAGGCGACAAAAAATATCAAACGAATCCCCGACGTTTACTGGAGAACTTGTTGACTCCGTTGTTAATATACCTGTAAAATACATTATAGAAACAAATGCATGCCAGTGGTTAGCCGTATGTATAACGTTTGTTTATTAACATCCGTTTTATTAGTTACGAAGATTTTGACTGGAACCTAGGTCCAATACAAATGTTTGTAAATATAAAAACATATTTGTTAGGGATTAGTTATGTAGTAAACAACGGATTTGAACATGTATAAGAATATAGATAGGCAGTATTATAGATATACACACACATTACAGCTTAAATGTATACTCATATATATGCCTCATATCTCATGTGTGAATAGTTGTTGTACTTTTTAATATTAATGGTTGAACATTTATAAGAACTTTACTTTACTTGAACATGTGAAGTTGCAAAATACGTATGACTAAATAAAGAATTAATATTAGTTTTAAAAATTTGTTTGATAGTTATCGTTTCTATAAAGAACATATTTGCCAACTCTATTATGTATATCGATCATTTAACACATTCAGCACTTATATTTGCTGAATTAATTGTTAATGCATGCTACATATTTCTATTCCAAAGCTAAATTGATATACCTGGTATTTCACATTCAGGTGTTCCTATCCATGTATTGTTTACACATTGAATTTGTTTTTCACTTTTGGTTTTAAATTCAAAGCCCTCCGCACATCGCACTGTAATTGACATGTCGATATAGCTTAGATCCTCGCTCACTATGACATTATCAGATAGTAAGTATGGTCCGCATGGATGCACAAAGCACGCTGCTTCGGAATCACTTACCCAAGACCCGTTTGACATGCACTGAAAATTGACATTTGTATTTGCCATGAATCCAGGGTTGCACTGTAACTTTGCCGTTGAGTTGATCGCTTTTTTTAATACATTTACCAGTCCGTTTTGAACTACAGGATTGTCCTCACACACCACAGGTTTGCATGATCCGGATGGTTCCTTCATTTCGTTCAAACCGCATACAACTTCTTCCGCTGACATTAAATCATGTACAATGTTTAAGTTTTAAATATTTTAAATGAACTGAAATTTATTAAAAGTATACATAACAAAGGTGGATAACGAGATTAAGGCTACCAAGGGACCACATTTTTCCGGATGTTTTTTACGTAATAGCTCCGTAATCCTCTATCTTAATGATATCGACCATTTTTGTTAGAATACTATTTACTAAATTAGAATTGGAAAGAAATATATCCCATGCAAACGAACGTTTTATGAAACAAAACATATCTGTGTAAAATTTACACAAAGGCAACATAGTTTTACTAAATTCAGTTTTAAAAAAAATTTGAAACTAGGCATAATTATTCCTTTCAATCTATCTCCTGAGAAAATAGTGAAAATTTAACCATTTGGCATAAGAAATTATAATGGAAATAATGGCAAAAGAAAAAAAATTGCAGTATCGGAAGAATTTTGAATGGACGAGAGTGGTCAAAATATGATAAAAGGACAACAAGGAAGGACGGCATTCAACAAACGCATCCATCGGCAAGGAGCCCAGCAGGACACCAAACTAGGCAGGGCACACGGGAGGGACGCCAACAGAAGTAAGGGCACTGTCCATACCCTAGCGTAAGCAGCATTGAGTATTGGGGAAAATAGAATTTTAAACAATATACAAATGTAATATTGGAAAATAGGTGTGTCGTTTTTGTCATTTCATCAAATCGCCATATAGACCAAAAAACTACAAAAATGGCTATGATGTTTTGTAACACATAATCTATAAATAATAAGAATGCATAGGTGTGTAATGAAACAAAAGTCAAACCTGAATACCTTTTGATGAAAAATTCCGCACAATAAAAAATGTTATTACTCCAAGCACAGCTAGGACAAGCACGACACCAACAACTTGAATTATTCTGCACCTATTAGATTGCTTTCGGGGCTTTGTAGTGTTTGGTATTGGAAGTTCATTAATATCTGCGTACGAATGATTTGTTCTTCCGGAACTGGTTATATCTTTATCTTGCCATTCCTTCCGAATATCAAGTCGGTTGTTGCTGCCTGGTATCCATAGATTTTTAGTATTATTAAAACGTGATCCTCTTTCAAATCCATTGTCATAATCTTTTCTATAAGAATCCGCAGACTCCGTCTTTTGTCTATTTTTGCTTTTTTCTTCATCTTGTTGTAACATATCCGGATCCCTGCCATAAGAATAATCTGATTCGTTGCGTTTGTTTTCGCCGACGATGTTTGAATTTCTTTCCCGATCAATGTTTTGCTTTAAAAGATTGTTTCTAATATTTTGCTTGGATTCCATGCTTTCTTAAAATATATACTAGCCTTTTTTCAAAAGTTTTAAGAAATTTAAGGTTTTTATGTCAAACAAAATATTAGCCTTAGATGTAAGAGTATCAAAGTAGCACATGAATAGCTTAATCCACGCAGAAAATTTAATGAACGGGTACTTCCTTATTGCGCTAGAAATAATATCATTGGTTGTAACATTTATGAAGGCCTGCCAATAATAATCTATATTGTTATACGTTAGTTTCTTTCGTACATATTTTGCAGGCGATTGCTTAAAGTTATTTTACAAACCTATTCAATATGTACAATGTGAATTACAATGTAATGCTGCATATCTTAGCAACAAATTAGATTTTAATAAAAATTATTTTTATTTTCGCCTATGCACAAACGATTGGCTTTATTTTGTTTTTACGGAAGGAAGGAATTCTGAATATGCTGTACATTTGTGTGTGTGTGAGGAAAATCATGTATCCAATCTTTAACCAGCATGCCTCCTTATTTATGTTAATTTTCACGAAAGTTCTCACATTATGTTTATTTAATTTTAATTTTTTTATTCTATTTATATTTATTTAAAAGTGAATCGAATATCTTTAGTACAATGAATAATAACTCAAATAGTATTTAGTAGTCAACATCATTATAACAAACCGTGAAATAATTTAACATTGAAGTTTTTGACTGTGAGATACATGATTGGATATTTCATATTTTATAGTAGATAATAAAATGTTCTAGAATAAAAATATTAATAAAAATAAAATAAAATATAAAAAAATAAAAACATATAAATGTTCATTCTACATCAATTAGTTCTTTTACGGCAATTTGGCAAGCATCATTTCATAATAAGAATATTCTTATTATATATTTCTGTTGTTTTTATCAATATCTGAAATGAAAAGAGGATATTGAATGAGTGTAGTTTAATACTAAATTTATTGAACGAGTTGAATAAAATCATATTATTGTTTTATTCAACGAGTTCAATCAATTTAATATTGAATCTACACGAATAGAATATTCTATTCATCACATATAAGATAAGAACTTTAGACTGTTAAAAAGAATAATTTTTCAATGACGCGCCCATAGTGTAACGCTAACATTAGCGCGCTTTAACCCTATGTTTCTATATAGCGCAAGTGTTATTACACTAATGTAATATCGTTTTTATTAAATGGCTTTATTACACTCCTGCACCGCGGTTTATGTGATAATTATAGAAAATATGCCTATTGAAGACCTATTCACTTTAAATGTCTATGTTATTATTCAGCGATTTAAACAAAATGATAAGCTAAATAATGTGTATGTAATGAAAGTTCCGCGTTATAGCTAAAACAATTTCAATCGCAATGTTATCACTAGTTTTCAATCGTTTAAAAATTGTAGATATTATATCAATGAATTCTGAATCATTAAAAAATGTATCATTCATAAGGTCTCCAAACAGAATTTAACACAGTCACGTAGCTTTTAAATTAAACGATAAGTAATCGTTTCCCACAAACAATATCAAAAGAACAGTGGTAGATATTGAATACTTCTTTAAATTCGGTCAGACGGGTATTAAAGGTAATTATTTAGTATTGTATATCAAATCTCATTGTAAATAACTCAATGTCCATAATAGCATGAATATAAAACTGTTAATGACAGTTTCAAGTAGTTTTAATTAATCCTTGATTGGTTATCTCCCGTTTTAAATATTTTAACGTAATAAAGACATTCAGTGTGTGAAGACATAGTTAACAGAACTGCCTCTTTTAAGCACTCAAAGCGAGTCTTTAGTAAAATGTACCCCATGACTTGGATTAAAATCATTCTTATCTAAAGTTTCTGCATATAATAAACCATTTAAATTCAAAGATAAATTATTGTTCTTATCTAAAGGTTCTTTAATGTGTGATGGCAAATAACTGTAATGCGTAATGTAAAACAAACGCGTAATGAATAAGACCTGCCTTTTGAAATTAATCTTGAACTCGATTAATACGAACTCATACGTTTTGTATATAATATAAAATTTATTCTTATTACATAATTACTCATTGTACTTTCAAGCATATCCATGTACATACATATACACACTGCCAATATTTAGCAAATAAAAACTAGGATAAGACCTATATAAGCATCAGCTTTCGGTTCTGATCCTTTTTCATTCATTTCATGTGTTGTAAAGTTCTGTTTGTAAATTGTAAATGTGTATACTTGTTTGAAATAAACTATGTTTAAACTAAATTAATCTTGAGTAGTGAATATCCTTAGACTTAAGTCTTTGGTTCATAGAAAAAAAACACTAAGATAATAAATAGAATTAAACAAAAGGTTGCTGACCAATGACATATCTAAGAAGAAATGAAAACCTGTGTTATCTTTAAGGTTGACCTGATCTTTGGAAGACAGCACATGCAACAGCCCGATGATGTAATGCTTTTTTATAAGAAGAGTTTAATCTTCAAAGGTAAAGATATTACAATCAATGATTCAGCTAATGAAATTTCGTAAGTAAATGCATTCTACGATATTCAAACAGATTTTTACAACTTTAGCTCGGTATATCTTTGTGAAAATATTTAACTAAAATCTACAGTAATATTGTTTAATAGTGTATGTAGAATATTGATCTTTGCTATATGTATATCTTGTTAGAACTACTTGTATTTGAATTATTTTAAGGATAACTCTTCATATCATTGCATGTGATCGTAACATGATTACCTCCCATTAAAAATATCCATACGCGAAAAGTAATTTTACAGCGAAGGCGCAGTGGGAAGTTTAATAAATAAAACTTCACCCCGCAGGGGCGCCGAGCGAAATTCCAGTAATAAAACCACGGATGCACGGGGCGAAAAATATAACTTCGTCCCGCGCCTCCGCTAATTAGCGTGTTTTCGCCCGGCGAAAAAGTCGAGAATTAACACTTTGACATGGCAGGGGCGTGGGGCGAAAACACGAATGGCACAAATCATCCACCATATTATATTGTGTATTATGGTATTGAATCGGTGATACCAATAATGTACGTTGTAGAGTTCACCCGTGCAATGTCTTAAACTTTTGGACGTTCGTTCAGAGTTGTATTTTTTCTAGTTTGTTTTGTTTGTTTTATATGTATTGTTTGATTTTATTAACTTGTCGATTACATATTGATTATATGGTCAATGTTGTTGTTGTTGTATATGGCCAATGCATACAATATATTAATTTTTCAATAGAGTTTGGGTCCGTGAGATGTTCATGGTAAGGCATAATTTATTTTATTGTGTGTCTATGAAATAGCTATGCGCAATATGGCAAATTACGGGTTTACAATTTCTAAATGTCCTGAGTGTTGTAAAAGAGAGAGAGACCGCTTAGGAAATTTTTCCTCAACATTTTGGCGCTAAGCCTGTTTTTTATGTTGTTTTAATATGTTTTGCATTATTTTTTGGTAAAGTCTTTTGTCTTTTTTAAATCACATTGTTGAAGAACTAATATGTAAAATTCATTAGGATTAAAATTTATGAATGTCATTTCAATGCCGTAAAACACATACAAAACCAGACAAGACAGTGTTCCTAAGTTGCTTCATATTCATAGGAGATAATTATACATGTATAATTAGGCAATTTCTATAAAATATTCTGCAAAAAAGCAAAATAAAGAAAGAGTAGGTCTAGAACAATTGTTACATTAGGGATCGAACAACAGACCTCTTTTTTATAAGCAGTCACTCATCAGACTGTTCTTTTCACGGACGTGAGTATGGCCTATACATCAAGGTGATGTGACTTTTTTTTTTAAAGTTTTTTATTCCATATTAACTCTCGTAAACTGCACAGACAGAACCAAAGTGGTATCGAATAGTTTAATGAGTGATATACTGTATTCATAATTGAGGTGTAAATACAATCAGACTATATAAACGTTAAGTTTTCTCATTCCGAATCACCCGTGTACTTTTACCTTGTCTAGCACTGGGTACCACGAAAAGAACAATCTTAAGGCCTAAACAGAAAGTAAGATTTATTTGTACAACACTAATTAAAGATATGATACAAAGATGATAAAGTACATTTTTCAAAGCAATACAACACTTGCATTCAGACCGTAAATCGTTGTGTTAGTCACAGGGCTTCCCTCTAAAACAATTCCCTCAGAATGGATCCCTTAATGAATTTATAGACTATAATTATTGCTGAAATATGTGTCAGTGTCATTTAATTGCTGGTATTGACCAATTAGGAAGATTGGTGAAGAGATAGGCCGTGGATAGTATGGGGGAGTATTTAGGAAATTAACATGTTCTGGAATGAATAACATAACTGAGCACCCTAAAGCCTGTTCTGTATTTTGGTGTCAGAGTGAAAAAATATTTTTCTGCATGAGTAATGATGGAAACTCCTCTAACAAAAAAGTAGTCTATAATCATTTTCTGAGTAATTTGGGATCCGAACATTCCACAACTTTGGGGCTCCCCAAGAATGTTCTAATGTATTTTTTAACATTATTAGGGGATAATTGAGAAATCTGTAACCTGTCATCACGAACGGTCTGTACAATTAGAATTAAGAGATAGAAAATATCCTATCATGTAAATATAGTATTGAAATGCACGAATTCAAGAAATATTACCCTTCACACATGTAGATTTGCTTGTACATCATAGTTGTAATTGATGTTGTTCTTCAAAATCCTACCGTATATCGAGGCCTTTAACCTTTACTAAATCCCGACAGGGACTTTGGATTCTTTCATGTGAGGAAGCTACCCAGCTAGCTTACGGAACGTCGGTGGTTCTACTCAGGTGCCCGTTCGTGCCTGAAATAATTCACGGAAGGGCACCTGAGGTCTTCCTCCACCAGTAAAGCTGGAACGTCGCGATATGACCTATACTGTGTCGATGTGACGTAAAACCCAAAACAAACAAAAAATAACCTTTACTATATTCTGGTATTACTCATGTACTTAAATTAAATAATTGGATCAAACGTCCGTTGGCTTGATTTATGGAAATCATATTCTGACAGATAAAAATACCTTTTACTTGAAAAAAAAGATATTTGATGAGAGATCTCCAGTAGAAATTAATATTGACTGATAATTATTCCGATCTGAAGGGAACTTCTATAACATGACACACTGTCAAGTTTTGGTTTCACTTACGAGATTTTTATCGATATTCTGAGCGATACTTGTAATTATAAGTTAAGAATCGCTGTACATCTGGACTTGCTGCACTGCTAAGATTTACTGCAGTATTGGACTTGCTGTACTATTAAACTAGCTATGCTTCTTAGACTTGCTGCGCTCTTTGGACTTGCTGCGCTTTTTGAACTTGCTGCACTTTTGGACTTGCTGCACTCCTTAGACTTGCTGCACTCCTTAGACTTTCTGCGCTTCTTAGACTTGCTGCAATCTTTAGACTTGCTGCACTATTGGACTTGTTATGCTTCTTATACTTGCTGCACTAATTAGACTTGCTGCGCTTCTTGGACTTGCTGTGCTCCTTAGACTTGCTGCACTATTAGACTTGCTGCGCTTCTTGGACTTGCTGCACTATTAAACTTGCTGCACTTCTTGGACTTGCTGCGCTCCTTACACTTGCTGCACTACTAGACTTGCTGCGCTTCTTTGACTTGCTGCGCTCCGTAGATTTGCTTCTTTTCTGGGAAGCGTACAGTTCTAAGACTTGCTTCTTTTCTGGGAAGCCGGCCGTTGCTAAGACTCAACTCTTCACTTGAAAGCCGACCGTTTTCTAGACTTGCCGTTTTATTCGGTTCCTTTACTGGTTCTGCTCACCAACAAGGAGACTTGCTGAAAATAAGCTTTCTGACAATATATGAAGCTTCTTTCGAAATCAATGTTTTTTCTTTCTTTTTTTATTTCCAATTTAATTTCATATAAATACACAATGCGCGAACCGGATAGAACGCCACAATTGTGACGTCAAGTCAAAACGATAAATAATACAAAATGGCGGACATTTGTGTTTCTTTTCATAAATAAAATGGCTATTTTGACACACACTTTTGTAGATGCTTGTTCGGTATATTATACTGTATTGTTTTATATTGTATTACATCACATATATAATATATAGTATCGTAACATAATATATCATATTACTTCTTGCATAATTAAGTGTTGAGTCTCAACCTTAACGTGAATGTTTTAATAAACAAAATTTAGTAACATATGGTGGCTAATTTGGTACATTTTGCGCGTTGCATTGTTGATAGCGACGACAAAACCTATATCGTTATCGCATTTTCGTCTTGCCGCAAAGCGAAACACGCCAAACGCCGCGTTGTCGTGCGGCTAATTGTCGCGATGTTGCCCTGTCGATCAAATTCTTTGCTTTGAACCGAGCTACAATGTGACATCGCGACAAAACGCCGCACGATAACGCACCGTTTGGCGTGCATCGTTAGCGACAGGACAAGACAAAAAACAGACAAAGCGCCGTTTGACGTTGTGTCGTGCTGTCGCTAGCGACAATACGATACACAAAAGTGTTCCAAATCAGCCACAGCTACCATACCATATAAAACTATATCTTTTGAAATATCTTTATAGAATTTATCAACAATAGAAGTATAATATTTCGATAATTTCAAAGGAGAAAAAAAGTGGTAACATAGAGTTTCTCTTAAACACACATATGGTAGGGGTTTTGGCCGTTTAGCAATGATTTCAATGCAAGTGCAATTCGCTTTTATGGAAATGTCTCTCGTACAATAAATTTGAAAATTCTATATTAAAATAATTGATTTTGCAGCAGATATTTAGCTTTTTACATTTTAAGAATCCCTCCCCACTTCCTTCTTTAATATATTTTACTAAAGACATGGCTGTATAAGTAATATCCCTAATTTCTTGAATGATTCATTACATTTAGTTTCAGGAAGTCCAGTATGATATAATACGTTTTACATTTAACTCTTATTCAGTCTTCATCTCAGTATGTTTAATATCTGTGGCCAGACTGACCATTTACTATATTACTAGCAGAAGTTAGTGTTGTGCTCTATTTAAATATTAACATTTTATGGCAATTTGACTTTACTTCTTCACCATAAAACAAATGGAGTGTTTTTGAGAAAGGTCAAAATGAAAGTCTATAACGTTCTTCTCATTACAAAGATGGCCTTTTTAATGATGCTATTTTAATGTATAAGAATTTAATACGTTGTTCACTAAACGTCTGAGCAAACAAGTGACCTAGAAATTGGAATCGCACTTAATAGTTCCTAAAACTTGAAGGATATCAACTTGTTAAAAAATGGCGAGCACTTGTAAAATCTGGGCGTTAGTGAGATAAGAGAAGAACTGACATCAAGTTCCACTTGTCCACTTGTAAAATGATAAGTGTCCACATGTTGCTATTTGATTTTTTCTTCCTTTTTCTCTCTTTTTCCTTTTTAATGTTGTTATGTCTAGTTAACCAAATGTTACTTTGATGACATTGGAAGTTAATAAGACAATTAGAAATAAGACGTTCTAAATGTATTTAACGAATACTCATTTTATTGATGCTTATAGAAAGCGTTAGCAGTATATTAAATTGAGAAAAAAACATTTAATGTCAGTAACTTTTAGTATATATTTTATATATATATATATTAAGATTCAAGCGAAAAGGTGTCCAGTTCAATGCAGACACAAAAGGACGGATATGACATGACATGACCGCTTTATCGAATATTAAGATATATAATATATCTTTTAGGCAAAATTTGATCGTAACAATTGATCTAGTCGTTGATATAAATGATCATTTGTCCCTAACAGCTTATACAGAAGACACGTGAGATAAGCAGTCGGTTACCTGTGGAAAAAACTACTTATTACTGATTAGTTATTCAGGAAAATCAGTATTAATCTCATTGTTATTATATATTAAGTTGAATTTTTCACTTATTTAATTCATAATAAAGTTATATTATACATGTTCTATTTTGTATAATTGAAAAGTTAAAGAAAAATATTATTACTCTTTATAATATTTTTGTATTGTTTTGTCATTTTTCAGTCATTTGAATTAAGCCTTGAATTTTCTATACATTTATCTTATTTTATGTATCGTAATACATGTATATGCTTTCGTTATTTTTAAATGTCATATTCTTTAAGTTCAAGAAATGTTTATTTTACAACAATGTGTAAATTTTTTGGCAAGTATTTCATATCTTAGGTCACCTCTGATCTTCATGGTATTTGTCAATAACCATTTAGACAATATTAACACTGGCTTAGAAGGTTTTATTTTACAATAATTGGACATAAACATTTTCTCAATTTGTCAATCGCCTACGAAGTAAGTAGACTATTGATATGTTTCTCTCGACAAGTATGTAATACTTCATAACTGTTAAGTTTTTCCTTAATGCATCATTTATAACACTTATAGTTTAAGAGCAGTACTTATCCTGTTAAACACGTGCTGATATGCCTTAGGAAAATTCAAAAGGAAAAGATGCATGTTTATAGTACGAAGTTCCTGATTGTGTGAAATGATTTATTTTTTCTCTATGGAAGCAAATGTGGCCATTATTCACAGTACAAGTTTACATAACCTACAACGCAAATCTATTTAAGTTTATATGTAAAACAGGACTCATTTAGGCATAATCAAAATAATGACTTTATTTCTATGCTATAACATACCATAGCAAAGAATTCCGCAATGATCTTATGGTAAATGTTCGAATCCCTTGTCCCTTTTTGGTTTAATATTTTAAATATGTCTTGTAATGTCGCCGCCAATTCATAGCTTTTACCAGCCTTGCAAGAAAACCATAGTCTGTCATATTGTGCTTTTACCGAATATGAAAAATGAGAATTTAGCCAATGTAAGACGATTTAAAGCAAGATCTCATGTTTAATATCAAATAATGTCGCAAACTTTTTTTGTCCCCCAAGGTACACCATATATTTGACTTTTGTAGTCTTGAGAGTCTGCTTTATATATAAAAGTGCTTGTCCATGGTAAAGTTTGGGGTAAATTATAGAACTTGGTGTAACAAAAAGCGCAGTACTAAGAAAATGTCTAAATTTCTTAGTTAAGTATTGGACTTTTATTATCATGGTTTTGTCAGGTAAGATGTGCAGAGTCGGAATAAAGTGCGAAAGTAGTGTATGAACTGTTGTCATTAAGAATAGACAATGTTGTTCGTGAAAACAATAATCTAAAATCTGAGCTTAAGGAAACCAAGGCAGTTGTTTATAGACTCGAGAATAAAATCGAAAGAATGGAAGCAAACGTTTCATTTACAGCAAGTAGAGTGACAAGTTATGAGGAAGAAAATTCAACAACTTTATTAAATGAAAAGATCCAGGCTTTTGAAGATTTATCTGCGACTCGACTTCAAAAACAATTTAAGACAGAAGCAATTTTATTGCGGAAAATGCTAGTTAACGAGAAGTCACACATGAAAGATAAATTGATGACATTTGAACAAAAGTTTAACAGCTTCCAGTCGGATCTCGTAAATAATTTAAATGAAATGAATACCTCAATAGAAACCACTGTTGACAATTTAGAAAAAACGATTTCTGAACATAACATAACAACAATTACTAGACTAGTGGCAATTGAGGACAAACTTCAAAGTCAACTAAATGAAACAGACCTCCTCGTACAAGAAATGAATGAAGACTTCGAGAATAAACTAACAGAATCGGACAAAAGAATTAAAGAAGGGAACATAAAATTAGCTGAAAATATCACTGAAGTTGACCAGCGTCTCACTTCTGCCAAGTCGAATTTTCAAAGTACATTCAGTGGTCTAAACAACCGGGTGTATACCGCTGAGTCAGTCTCGTCAAGTTTGCAAAGTACATACAGTGGTTTAAACAGCCGGCTCAATAGCGCTGAGAGTAAACTTCGATCAGTCTCTTCACAGCAAGGTAAAAATAATTCTCAATATGTTTTATATTATTATACAATTAGAAGCGCAAGAAAGCAATTTTATATTAAATTTTTTTACGCAAAAGAACTTCTGCACAGTGTTGATTTGCTAAATGCAATCTGTAAAGTAATATTTTGTTGTTGTTGTTTTTTGTTCTGTTTTGGCATCAGCGCCACATTGTTTACCTTTAAACAATTCTGATATTTCAGCCTCCTGCATTACAGTACGAGAGAGATAACACTCTGTTGTCTTGTTCAATGCTGCTGATGATACATAAAAACCTTTTTGTCATATTTCATTTCTACTGACATAAAATTATCTACATTCTCCTAAATGAAAAATGAAATAACAATTTATATTCCACTCAAGTTTTCAACGAAATTCACATTAACTAAATCAATATTGCTTGTGTTTCTGTAAAAAGACATCTGACAATGATTAAGTAGCTACTAAGTAGTTGATAAGTTTGATAAACTTATCAAACTGATAGTAATATAAGAAACATGTAAATTTATATAAATAATCATAATCATTACAGACAGACAGGACAACACATTTTCTGGTCAAATCAGTGCTTTAAGCAGCCGAATCTCTGTGGAGGAAGGTAAGATCTATGAACACAAGTGTGTATTTTTTAATGGTTTTATGCGTTCTATAGAAGCCCATATTTTGAAAAGACATCTATATGTATAAGCGTTCCATATTTCAATATGCCTTACATCGTACATATGTTTTAATAAAAAAAAATAAAATTTTTACTAATTCGAACCCAAATATGCTTGTTCAAGCGTAGAAAAAATATGCAATATATAGTTTTAAGAAATATTTTCTAATTTAAAGGATTAGAAGATGAATCACGTGGGGTTAGAGTTAATAAAGTATTTTTGTTTTCACATTGAACAAACATATTCTCAGATATCTAAAACGATATATTTTAACATTCAAACTTTTATATTATAATCTTATCATAAAAGGGAAGAACCGTGCTTCGTACAACGGTAAATGGGCTGCTTTGTTTATTTGCAGTTACACATTATACTTGATTCTATCTTATGATATAATAATAAAAAAAATCATTCACAATTAACAAACATTTGATACTTTTCAATCTAAATTATATGATGTCAAAACCAAATATTCTTTTTTATGTCTTTGCTCAATAAAAATTATTTGATTCTACTTCAGGAAGAAAGGTTGCATTTTCAGCAACTGACTAGGGCAGATAGTTATTATGTCAAGAGCGAAAAATTAGTGTTTGATGAAATTATGTATAGTTATGGCGGAGGATATAGCTCCTCAACGGGGATATTTACAGCGCCAAAATCAGGAACTTATTTGTTTACTTATAATATAGAGTCAACGACATCAGGAAACGCACATGTAGTTTTGAGAATAGATTATGGATATTCATCACAAGCTTTGGTAAAAACAGGACCATGGAAACGCAGGGATTGGTTATGTTTTGAAAGGGGAAAAGGTTTGGGTTCAGACTGCTTCATTAGAGAATAAGTATTACATAGGGGCTTACAGGACAACCTTTAATGGTATTTTGATAGACTGAAATAGCAAATTAATAAATTTGTAAAAGTAAACAAAAGTATATTTTATAAAGTTACTCGATTGAAGTAAAACTCATAAAATTGTTATGTTTGTTTTCGAAAACATATTGAAATGTAAGCAATGCTTGCATAACATGACATAATAATTTATTGTAGCTTAGAAAATAAACATATTATAACATAGAAATTAAATTACCAGCATATTGATACTGATGTAGGAACAACTTCTATTTTACAGTATTTATTTAGGTGTCTCTATTACTATTTTTTACGTTTGACTTTACAAATTTTGTAATGATATACTATATTGATTTGTTTTATTGTGACCCAGTGTCTTTTTTTCTATTTTTATGAATTTTTTAAGAATTTTTAATATTAAAAAATATGTCATTTATACACAAAATACATATTAGGAGGATGCTTGTTCATTTGAGTGAAAAATGGAATATATATTTTCACGAAATATGATTTAATACCATATACATTCACGACCCGGAACGTGAATATATACCATATTTCTCGATAAACAAAAACAACTTTTTTATTTATTTTTACCTTCAAGGATTTTTATTTTAAAGAATACACCTTTTTACCATGCAGTTGCAATTGTACAGAGTGCAGTAATACATTAATTAATTGAAGGTGCCGGACACAGTTCGAATTTAATACACAATTGATCTCAGCCGCCTTGAATTGTTTTGAAAAACATAACCAGATAATTTTTAATGATGAACGAAATAGTTGAAGTAACTACCGGTAACATATAAACATCTGAAACAGTAGTCCCAATGTAAATATGAGTTTTGGCCTGGCCCTCTTTCATAATTATTTCATATTTGATATTTTTTCACAAATATGTTATATAGTTGGCTGATATCTTTATGTTATTATACATTTTACTGTACAATACGGGAATATATTTGGACTCGTACACAGTTGGAAAAGTCATATCGGTTTGTCCAATATGACTTTTCAAGCTGTGTACGAGTCAAAATATGTTCCGTTTTGTACAGTAAAATGAATAAAAACCTTTTTATTATATATATATTTTGTTTAATTTGAATCATCATCATCATCACCCCAACAAAAAATACCACCAATATCATCTACACCACCACCATTATCAGCAACCAATACCAATATCATCAACACCATCAACATAACACCAAAACCACCATCGTCAATAATAGCCCGGTGACCCCTGTCAAGGTTGTTTTGTTTAGAAGAAAAGGTAATAATTCATGAATGGTTTTGTTGTATACATAAATATGTTTTAGTATTTGACTGATACAACGGATGCTCTTTAGACGTTATTTATTTATTTATAATTTTCTGTGAGTTCAAGAAAATTACAGTTAACACTGACTAAACAAATTATACATTGAACAACTTACATTAATCATTAATATCTGTAAATAAACATCATAATTATATAACAGTAAATCCGAAAAATATCACATTGACACCCCTTATCTCATTGACAATAGTATAGCGCTAACATTTAGCGCGTCTTAACGCTATGCTTTAACAACTCAAATGTGGTCACGTCAAAATATATGCACGATCGTTTAGCGCACATGTATCCAGTCGTACAATATGAAAGTAATATATATTTTATCCAATACAGTAATACATTGGACGGTCACAAGGTACAAATGCAGATTGTCGATTGGTAAAATTTATTAGATATATAATAATATACCATATTTCATGAGGGAATTAAATAAATAAATATATATATATATATATACATGATATTGAACTTGAATGTAGTGACTACTTATCCAGTAATTTAAAACAATATGCAGTGCATGATTACCTTGAAATGTACATGTCGTTTTAAAATATATAACAAATTGCAATTAATTAAACATAATATAACATACCAATTGTGGGTGTATCATAGTTTGGGGACCTTTCTGTTGAAAATGAGTTAGAGTTAAATCATATACATATACATGCACAGTGCGTTAACTGGGGTGCAGGTATTAGTTACCCGCACTCCAGGGCATGCCCATTGATTGGCCCGATTTTTGCTAGGGTTTACTAATTGTGACGACAGAGAATGGGAAAGCGACACAAATATCATATTCAGATGCTCGTTAATTGGTTCCCTTTTCTGGGGTTTCATATTGTGACCACAAGGAACGTGTTTTTATGTATGACTGTGATACAAAAGAGAAAGAACACCAAAACACTTGGCAATCTGATTAATACTCGGGGGCTACGCCCCCTCGTACAAATCAGATAGCCTTGTGTTTCGATGCTCTTTCTATTACTTGTTGAACTTTGCACTTGATTATGCGTTCAAACAGTTAAACATTTCATTCAAACCATTTCCTAGTACATGTACATGTTTTTGTTTTGATACTAATATTCACTACAATAAATTTCTATATGTTTTACTGATGTTGTTGCTTTTTTATTTAAGTCTATACAGACTTTATTTACGTTTCAGTGTGAAGGAAGCAAGAAGCTTATAGACTAACTTTCAAATCTGCTCCTGAAACCAACAAGTACAAAGAAATGAGTGTTAAGTTTCTTGCCTAAGAATAATACGTATTTCCCTTGAGAAGGTTTAAACCAAAAGCGGCCGGAAAACTGATTACTTTTAAGAGTATGGTTCCCGATGGTTAAAAAGTGTGAGTATAACGTTATGCAGTAAATGAGTCAAGATTTTAATGGCAGCACAGTAGTTAACGAAACATGATGTTCATGAGATTTAACTATAAACCTGAAAAGAATGATGTGATGTAATTAAAATTTTGTTATATCTCCTTTCTGAATAATGACTTTTTGACATCACCTAGACAGTCTATGGCAGCTTCTGGATATACATGTAGTTTGATGGCACGCATGTAGCAATTGGGCCATGCATGTAGATAGTCTGAGGATGGTTCATCAGCCCATTTAGGCGCAAAAAGAAGCTTTTATTGTCGAGTAGGACTCCGAGCATGTCATCAGTCATGCATTTATAGGATTAATGTTGAAGCACAAAGTGTTATAAGTAAGCATGATGCAATTTCGAAGGAGTATTAGCCACGTTTATGAAATTTGAGCCAAAAGTAGGTCACTTTACGTACGGCGACGAATATTGAAATTGAAATACATTGTACAGTAACCTGACACAGTATGAATAGGATGAGGTAGGAATAAAAGGTGTTTTATGCCAGCAAAGGGCAAGGCTGTTCAAGCCGTTAAACCGAACTAGGTACTCCTTTGTGTCCTTCCTCATCGTCCCATCATACTTTTTAGGGACACTCCCCTCAGCTCCCCTGAGGACATCATTAGTTCGTTCGCACGATATCAGTATCGTTTTTTTCTTTCTTTCTTTCTTTCTTTCTTTCTTTCTTTCTTCGTTGCTGTGTTGTTGTTTTGTTTTGTTTATTTTTTTTTTGCCGTCTAAAGTATTTATTCTCATCTCCTGCCGATGCTCTGTGCCTTCTCAACGACGTGCAAATGCTGAGGGGAAGAGAGAAAAGGCAATTGGGCCTTCAAGGCACTAACGTTATGTATGGGATAAAGATGTTTAAACGTGTTTTTATCTGTTGTAAACATCTTTAATTGAGGTGCAGGAGGTGAGGAGGCCAACTGAGCTGTGGTCTTTGGTTTGTACGTTTCCATTTCTCGAACTGCCAGGACCAGAGACAGGGAGCATTATCATTCTAAGACAGTAAGGTATCGATAACAAACACGCAATAAATTTTCACATATTACAGTCTAGAATGTCTCAATGTATTGTTTAGAATTCGCGGTACGATTTACAAATCTAATGTCTTAATTCCAGAATAAGTAATGGAACCCCAGACAATAATTTTAATGGATGACTGAGATCCGTCAGCAACGTACCGGTATTTAAAGCGTTCAGGTCGCCACTTTTCGAGCTCTTTCTCCAAACTTTTGTTATCCTCGCAACAATCATTTCATTACTAAAATTAACATTCTTCTATTGATTGATTATTGTCCATCATACTATACCCATACACCTTATTCCAATTAACAGTCCTTATTCTATTTTCAATATTTATTGCCGTTTTTATTAAAAAAAATGAGGTCTCTCCTGTACAGATTGAGTAGAAAGTCTCACATGTGATATTTCATTAAAATTACAGTTAAAACACTTCAAGGTAGTTTTTAAAATCCTTACCTTAGAAGAGTTTTTTTACAATTATTGGACATAAACTTTTTCTCAATTTGTCAATCGCCTACAAAGTAAGTAGACTTCTCTCGACAAGTATGTAATACTTAATAACTGTTAAGTTTTTCCTTAATGCATCATTTATAACACTTATAGTTTAAGAGCAGTACTTAACCTGTTAAACACGTGATGACTTAAGGACAATTCAAAAGGAAAAGGCGCATGTTTATAGTAATAGTACGAAGTTCTTTATTGTGTGAAATGATCGTTTTTATTTTCTATGGAAGCAAATGTGGCCATTTTTAACGGTACAAATTTATATAACCTACAACTCAAAACTATTTAAATTTATATGTAAAGCAAGGCTCATTTAGACAAAATCAAAATAATGACTTTATTTCGAGGGCTACAACATAAAATAGCAAATTTCCCTAATGATTTATGTTCGAATCACTTGGCCTTCACCGCTTTGATATTTTCATCATGTCTTGTAATTTTGCCGCTAATTTATAGCCTTTAACAGCTTTGCAAGAAAATCATGTAATGACATGATGTGCTTTTACTGAATAAGAAAAATGAGAATTTAGCCGGTGTAAGACGATTTAAAGCAACATATCACATTATGTCGCTATGTTTAAAACTGTTCTTGTCCCCAAGGTACACCATACATTTGAATTTGGAAGACACGAGAGTCAGCTTTATATAGAAAAGTGCTTGTCCATGGTATTGAAACCAGTTTCGGGATATAACAAAAAGGCGCAGAACTAAAAATGTCTTATTTTATTAGTTTAAGTATTGGACTTTTATTATCATTGTGTTATCATGTAACATGTGCAGAGTCGGAATTAAGATCAAAAGTAGTGCATGAACTGTTATCATGAAGAATAGACGAACTGTTGTCATCAAGAATAAACAATGTCGTTCGTGAAAACAATAATCTAAAATGTGAACTTAAGGAAACTAAGGCAATTATTGAGAGACTCGAGAACAAAGTCGAAAGTATGGAAATGAATGTCTCGCTAATAGCAGGTAAAGTGAAAAGATATGAAAAAGAAAATTCAAAAACTCTGTTAAATGAAAAGATTCAGGCTTTTGAAAATTTATCTGCGTCGCAACTTCAAAAGCAATTTAAGACAGAAGCAAAAGTATTGAGGAAAATGCTTGTTAACGAGAAGTCACACATGAAAGAATAATTGATAGCCTTTGAAGAAAAGTTTAAAAGTTTCCAAGCGGAACTCGTAAATAATTAAAGTGCAATGAATACCACTGTTGACAGTTTAGAAACTTTAATTTCCGAAAAAAAACCATAACAACAATCACTATGCTAGTAGCAGTAGAGGACAAACTCAAAAGTCAGTTAAATGAAACAGACCTTCTCATACAAGACATGGAAGTAGACTTTGAGAGTAAACTTCGATCAGTCTCGTCAAAGCAAGGTAAAAACAACTATAAATATCTTTTTCATACCTATACACAACTTGGTGCCACTAAGGCAATTTCAAATTAAATTTTCACGAAATATAATTCCTGTGTTGATTTGCTAAATGCAGTATGTTTACTGGTAATTTTTGTCTTTAGTTCTGTTTTGTTATCAACGTAACATTATTTACCATTATACAGTCTTGATATTTCAGCTCTGTGCATGACATAATGAGCAAGATAACACTCTATGGTATTATCCAATGTTGCCTTCTTTTTTACGCACAAATGGTTTATACAAGCATGATCATTGAGTTCAGGGTTTAGCTGGCGGACAATTTAAATGGATACTTGTTGATAAAATCACTCCCATCGCTCCCTATTTTTATGCTTCTTTTGTCTGCCGTCTTTATAAACGTTATCTTAGCAGCTTCCAAATATTATCATGCCATGTCATTGTCGATCACCAAGTGCCTCAAGCCAAAGATGCGTCAAACTCTACCTTAGATAATTCATTGGCAATTAAACCAATCAGCCCAAAGGAGAGATATTGGAATAAGAAAAAAGAATTGTTGCAGCAAGCAATAATCAGAAATTGCTGCGTAACTGTTTGACTGATGATACATAATTTACATTAAATATGAGCACTATTATGTAAATAATGCATTTATTTATATGCTTTATAATGTGAGCAGTTGCTTAATTCTTATTTTAGAGTGTATGATTTTAGTAATACTGTAGTTTCTCATTCGGCTCAATTTTGTTTTTAAATTAAGTGAAGAAGTTTCATATGTTTCATATAGTTGCATAAACCCTTGAGCTAAAATATGCAAACTAATCATCTAGCCGTGACTCAATAGGCTTAAAAATTTCATCTTTCATCCTGTCATGTTTTATAGAATACGTTGCGCCTTTTTACCTCGAATTCTTATTAGCTGTACATGTCTTGTGTTCTACATTTTGTATTCAGTAACTGTTGGTTTCCATTTTCTCCTTCCAAGTGCCAAGTACATGTTTAGCTTATATATTCTGTATAAGGTTTCTTTACCGTTCTTACAAATTAAAGACCCAGCCTTGTCACTTTATATGAAATGTAAAGTATTGAATAATTAAATACATATAATATATATTTTTTAATCATAATAATTACAGACAGACTTGAAGATACATTTTCTGATCAAATCAGTGCTTTAAGCCAAATAGCATCCAAACAAGTCGTCTATCCCTTGCCGAGTTTAATCTGCAAAGTACATACAGTGGTCTCAACAACCGGCTCCATATCGCCGAGAGTGAACTTCGATCAGTCTTGTCAAAGCAAGGTAAAACAATTATAAATATCTTGTTTATACTTATATACAGTTTGGTGCCAATAAAGCAATTTCAAATTAAATTTTCACGAAAAAGAGCATCTGCATAAGAATTGATTTGCAGAATACTATATGCCTACTGGTAATTTTTGTCTTTAGTTCTGCTTTGTAATCAGAGTAACAATGTGAATCATTAAACAATCCTGATATTTCAGCTTCATCCATACGGTTTCTTTACCGTTCTTACAAATTTAAGTCCTGGGTTTGTCATTTTACATAAAACGTAAAGTATTAAACTTGTTTACATATAACGATAAAATGTATAGCTATTCTAGCAATATACAGCATTGTTGTTGTATTTTTGGTAAGTGGTCAGATTATAATGACATACATGTTATACTAACTTGATGTTTGCTTTACCTTAGTACTCTACAATGTAAGTGGTTAACAAAACAAGATACAGTAAATTATCAGTGAAGTCTAGTTTTATTAAAAAGTTTTTTTTTTTAAACAAACAATTTTTAAATCAATTTAGTATTTCTATTGTTTTATAACGATGATTTAGCAAGATCTTATCTATTATTATAAATCCATTGCTAGCATTTTTAAGCACAGAATATTTCTTTTTTTTAAAAAAAAAAAAAAAAAAAAAAAAACAAACTAACATTGATTTATCATAATAATTTACATGTGTTATATAATATATGGCTCGTGAATGCAGAGGGGTCAGATTTCAAGAATATTTAGTGTTAAGGTGTGGGGCGTGGCCCTTTCCTCCTGTGGTGATAGTAGTGATGTCATCCTGGGGGTCTGCATGCGCTGGGGGGAGGTATCTGACTCCCTCGGTATTGGACCTTGGTGTAGCAGTACTCATGCTATCCAGGTTCGTTAGGTTCAATATTCTTTTTAGTCTGATGTCGCTGTATTCATTCTTTTATCAATCGTTCATATATTTTCTGTTGTAAAGTATGACAACAAAACAATGAAAATCATCAATATGCATTTAAAGTAGCTTTTAATATTTATTTATGAGTTTATGTTAAAAGGCACATTATTTCTTACACATTTATATATTGAAGACAATTTTAATGTATGACAATAATATTGTAAAGTGAGTTTTAAGGATCTTTAAGTTATATTGTATTAATATGTAAAAATAATTCCATAATTTATACTTTTAATTAGTTAATGCAAAATATTTTTAATGTTCATAATCCTGTTCATTTATATTGTTTTAGACATATATGATTGATGTAAAGCGCCTTTGAACATTTTAATGAAAAGGGCGCTATATAAATGTGGTATTTATTATTATTATTAAGTCCTTTTGTCATTACGAGTTTGTGAGTATATTCATCCATGATTGAGTTTTAGTAAATAAGAAACATGTTATATATATATATTTATATTTAATCATGATCATTACAGACAGACTTGAAGACACATTTTCTGATCAAATCAGTTCTTTAAGCCAAATAATCTCTGAAGAGGAAGGTTAGTTCATGGATCATATTAATTATTAAACACAAGTGTTTTTTGTTGTTTTCTTTTGTTTGTTTGTTGTTGTTTGTTTGTTGTTGTTGTTGTTTTTTGTTGGCATTGTGCTTTCTATAGAAGTCCATATTTTAAATTAATATCTACTTGCCATCATGAGCGGTCCTATCTCAATATGCACTTGATCTATTAAAGAAGATACTTAGGACATTCTTTTCATAAACAACTAACAAAAATTAGATACTTTTTAATCCAAGTTATGTAATATCAAAATCAATTATTCCTTTATCTGTTAATGCTCAACAAAAGTTATTTGATTCAATTTCAGCCCGAATGATTGCATTTTCAGCTAGAATGACCAAGGGGAATGACGATAACAACGCTTTAGGAAGGTGCAAAATAATAGTGTTTAATCAAGTTTTATATAGTTATGGCGAAGGATTCAACTCCGCGACGGGGATATTTACAGCGCAAAAATCAGGAACTTATTTATTTACATATAATATAGAATCACAATCTAGAGATAAAGCCCATTTGGATTAAATGATAAATGGTAGTGTTACAACTCGAGCTATAAGTAACGGTCAATATGTTACTGGCGGAAACTCGGGGATTGGTTATGTCTTGAAAGGGGAAAGGTTTGGGTACATACTGCTTCAAATGAGAATTTCTATTACATCGGGCCTTACAGGACAACTTTTAATGGTATTTTTATTGGCTGACCTAAATCACCATGCATGTAGGGGTGTTATACAGCTTGATCAACGTGATATGATTATAGATTCCTTCTGACTAAATTTTTCACGTTTACTTTATTTAGAGCAATGCTAGGAGCTTGTTTTTATAGATTTAAATTCGCACCCAAAGTCTCGGACATTGTTTAATTATTCGATTCTTGTTCCAGTTAAAACATATGAAAAAAGAGTGTGTGTTCTAATTGAATATAAAACCATACAAATATGTTTTGGTCGTCTTGATTGTGAGCAAAGTAATACTTATTCAACAAGATTTAATTCAAATTAGTGGTTGAAATTATATTTTTTGCAATTTTCCACATTCTAATACATCTAATTAATTTTATCAGTATTATATTTGTCATTTAATACTTTCACGTTGAATTTATAAGCACAATAAGTTAAGATTTAAAACATTATGTCAACCAATATAATCAGTGTTCGTAAAATCAGCTTTCATACCCTTTATCTGTCGCCCGGTTGCATCGCGCCAGAAAGTTTTATACCCATTAATGTTGACACAAATATTCACCTATACTAGACCAGGATATTGTAAATAAATGATTAGTTAACTATTGTCTTATTCATACAATCATTATTAAGGATTAATGTGTAGCTGTCTTAACAATTGTTCATGAATTTTATATGCTTTTATAGAATTTCGATTTGCTTTTTTTAGCTACATTTATGTAAATAAATGACATTTACACATACCTTGTCTTTGTGTTCATTTGCTTGGCTGCTAATTGATATAGACGACATCATAATAATGTTGATGACTTTTATTGATAGCATTATACAATGTTATACCTCACGTGGTTTATTTATGATATATTCTTATGTGACGTCAGTGACGTGAGAGTAATAATCTGTTAAATCGTATACCAGCTCTACCAGGCTATCAACGTTGTCGCCGTTGACTTAAAGTTATAGTGCAAGTATCATACAAACGCCGTCTTTTTTTTAACAAATAACTATTGATATTCAATTGGGTCAGCTATTCCAAACCGATCTTCTGTAAGGCATTTAGTTAATTGACTTTCTTTCATAAGTAATAAATGAAATTTCTTTGACTTGCAGTGGTAAATGAACTCTTAAAAAAGACAAAATGTATACACTGTTGTAATTCGTATATGTTATGCAAACCGTGGACCTATGATCCGGTCAATAAATAGCTGCTTTTTGTTGTTGTTTTTGTTGTTGTTGCTTTTTTTCGGCCTTATAAAAGCTTTATCGATGTAAATTTAAATAATTTATAACAGAGTATTGTGTGAAAAGTTAACATCACGTTTCGGCTCACGATACATTCTTTACTGTTCTGATAAGGGGAAGTAACCTCTGTCATGATTTGTTCCACACGACCCTGTTGGTTATTGTACTTTTCATGTTTAACAAAAAATAAAATAATTGTGTTTTACTGTTGTTGTTTTTTGTTATCTTTGTTGTTGCTATTGATGTTCTGATTTGTGTTTGTTAATTTGTTATTTTGAGTGCGTGCGTGCGTGCGTGGGTTTGTAAGCGCCTTCTACAAAGACATTTTCCAATAATAACAATAACACGTGAGGACATTTCAAAATACTGAGGACGGTCTCATTTGCAAAATTTATTCATCACTCCAATACGTCGTTTTTTGGGCTGAAAGGGCTAAAAAACGATTTAAAAGTTTGGTCTCAAACGACGGTCACTTAGTCTGAGTGTGTTGGATGAATGCTTGATTTTCAGATTTTCATTGAAATTTACCCACGCACCCGATGGTGTCAGTTGCCTTTGGAAAGTCATGTTTTCACATCAGTGCGTGTAATGTTACATTGCTTGTTTATTGCAAAGTATAGACGTAATTGTTATAATTGTTTTTATCATTTTAATGAGTCTAACGTATTCGTTTCTTAGAGTCATTAAAATGATAAAAAATTATAATAATTACGAAAGTAACGTATTGTTTGATTTTATTAACCTGTAAATTGCATATAGGGTTAGGGTTAGGTCTGATAGAATTTTTTTTTTTAAAATTGGGGGATGTCGTTGGAAATTGTTAGCTCGTATAAATATTTAGGGACATTGTTTTCAAAATCAGGCAGTTTCTTAAATAACAGAAAACATTTAGCACAGCAAGCAAAAAAGGCTATGCACTTATTGTATAAAAGAATTCATGACATAAATTTGCTTATAGACCTTATATTTAAATTATTTGATCATACTGTACTGCCAATTTAACATATGCATCTGAAATTTGGGGCTATAAAGATCTAACAATCCTGGAGAGAAGACATTGTGAGTTCCCTAGAAAAGTCTTAAATCTTAGAAAAAGTACTACCCTGTATAAGCTCTATGCAGAGTCTTGCAGATACCCAATTAATATTACAATTAAATGCAGGATGATTGGTTTCTGGAACAGATTAATACAAAATTACATACAAAATGTATCAATATATGATTAATTGCCAAGATTTTGAATTTAAATCGCTCAGCTGCATTAAAAGTATACTTTCAAATACGGTAGGAATAATTTATGGCTAAATTAGACAAATATTTAGAGCAAAACGATCAAATCTGTTATGAAACAGGTACTTTTAGATGAGAATTATCAAATGTGACATGAAACTTTACAAAATTCAAGCAAAGAGAGAAATTATTCTCTTTACAAAGAAAAAATATGTCTTGAAAATTATTTATTGATTCTTGATAAGGGAGATTTTATAAATATGATTAAATCTAGAACAGGAAACAATTTTTTCCCGATAGAAATTGGCAGATGGGAAGGTACAGATATTTCTGAGAGAAAATGTTCTCTTTGAAGTTTAAATGACATAGGAGATGAACGTCATTATCTTTTGATATGTACCTTTTTTGCTGACCTCAGAAAAACATATTAACAGCTATTATTATAGGAATCCAAACATTATAAAATTTAAAATGTCATTAACCAATTCAAGTCCTATGCAATTACAAAAACTTCATTAAAATACTATTTGAAACAATACGGAGGTAATGTTTGTAACAAATCATGCAATATAATGTTTGTCAGGTAAATTAATGTTTATTTATATTTTTTCGAAATTCTGTTTATTGCCATTATGTGTTCATATTAAGACATCATAATTGTTTCATGTTGACTATTGTTGTCGTCTTTAATATTCTATATTCTATATAGAATGTATATCAATGCCATAAAATGCAAACTGTATAATAACGCAATATATATACTAGTTAAAGTAACCCCATTCTACATTGCAAATCAAATTAATGTCAATGTTCCCAACCACATTCCCTACCTGCCTAAACATATGGCATAAGTCTAAATACGCAACACAAATTAATAAATCAATAACTTAAGAAAAAGGGTTAAACAATTAGTTTTACGCAAATTATCTTTTCACTGTTGACAAGTATGTAAATTAATCCATGTTTGTTTTGTTTGTACTAGTAAATAAACACTTACTTTCTAGTAGCGCGACACACTTTAATTTTGTCACGATTCGCACGATCTAATTCAAGGTCAACAATATCTAAACTGTTTAAAGAGCTTAAGAATTTCCCAAATATATACTTGAATAAAAAATATAAAAATATCTCAATCTTGCTAAATGTTATTTTAAAAAGTCAATATATTTTACATAAATACATATAAAATATTTCCTTGAAAAATTATGTCTTAAAAAAAGCATGATATCATCTTTAAAAGTTGAAACAGTCAAATTTAGTTTTCGTGCGAATAACATTATATTATCTCAAACTGCCTTGTAAACAAACCGTTTTACCGTTATAAATGAAAGCAAAATAAGCTTCTTATGTCATTAAAAACATGTTAATTTCAAATGTTCAACCGATCACATACACACACAGGCAGACTAGATTTAAAATATTTCTTTTTATGTTTGTAATAATGCAGTGCATCATGGCTATAAATAGCAAATAAATAAAGCAATTTCATTTATTAAGAAAACTTGGAAACAATTCTGAAGTAATGACCAGTATTGAGTGATATAACGAAGCACAAGTTTGACATCTTTTGGGTACTACCCGTAAGCATTTATTGTCTCATTACACGATCATATGGCATTGGCTTCTTAAAACATAGAATATTTAAATGACAAATGGTCTTTAATTCCAGCTGATTTTATCCGGCAAAGGAGAAGTGGGCTCTAAGTCATATTGACAGTTAAAGTCTAATGGCATCTCTCCAATTTCTGCTGGTAGGGAAAAACCTGTGGTGCTTATATGTGTATTATTTTAGGCACAAGTAGGCACCTGGATTCTACAACAGACTCTGTGAAATTCAACTGGATAGCTACATCATATGAAATAGTTCTAAGCAAGTGAGTTGAAGTCAGTGATTCTTACCTCAAAGCTATTGTGTTATTTTGACCATACAGTTTATTTAATTAAGAAATGTGGTCGTTTTATATTCTACACAACTATTAAAATGTGAAATTGCATTACAAGACAACAACAACATAATGGTTATATTGCTTTGGGGGCACTTTTGAAAGTATGCTTAACATTTAAGACTTGTATGAACATTACATTTTCTATCTTAAAGTAGGATTATGACTCAGAAATGAATGGTTTTTTCTTCTTTCAAAAAAAAAAAAGTAAAAAAATATGATTTTCATATTATTTAAATACTGGTGTCATCTAATATGTTTGTACGAGAAGAAAATGCCCCTAAATGTTAAATCATTTGTCTTAAAAGAAGCAAAATGTAAACAAAATAGTGCAGTATTTTGACTTTTATAAAAATACTTAACCACTATAACTATACTAATTGCCAAAAAGTAGCAGGAGAAAAAGAATGTTTAGGTTATAGGCAAGTGAGTAACTCTCTGGAAATACAATACCCAAAAAATTGAAAGTTTTTATGAAAATATAAAAACATTTTCAGTAAAAATAAAAACATTTTCATGACATAATGGGCCTTTAAGTTCCAATATTGCTTTATAGAATTCTGCGTATTTCAATAAGTGTCAAGAACTCAATTAAACCATGATTTGCACACGTGAAAGTACATACAGTATAAAATACGGTTGGAAAGATTATTTATTTTTCTAACCAACAGTCTGTTTTTGCACGAATTGCACTTTCAAATATGAAATAATTTCATATTTATTTTCTATTTTGAAAGAAAACTTAAAGTTAAGTTAAGTTAACTTTAGTGTGTGTCCTTGGATCCCGCATTAATTTTTTCTAATTAACCAAAAAATGAGGAAGAGTTAAAAAAGCATCAACCTTATTGACTATAATATACATTAAATAGGATCAAATAACTCCATGATATAGTTAACATCATACACAGTGACAAGTTTGGTGTTTCAAAGATTGTATATTTAATGCACTGTATGTCTAGTTGGAAATGATTTGTGTTTAATTTTGTTCAATAATAAAATGTATCTTTTTGTGGTTTTGTAAAGATGACAGAATCAAACTGTTCTTCCTTTATCAATAATGGATCTTTGATAAAAACTGGGAAATGGTTTACAAAATATGGCGCTCCAACTTACACAAAGATAATATTGTTTATTTTGTTACATGTGTAATAAAACGTCTAACCTAAATGACAGAGACGTAACTATAGTTTCGCTAATACACACGGGCGTATACAAAGAACAGAATTTCGAAAAAAAATCAGAAATGAAAATTTAATGTAAAATTAATTATTTGGGCATAGATCGATTAACAGTTGCGTAGCTCCCACTGATTCAAAAGTATGCTTGGA